GCATCGATGCCGGCTATGTCCAGGTGCTCAGTAGTACGAGGTGGGCATCTGGCTTTGGTGGTAGATCATCAAGTTTTGATTACGGCCATCGCCCTCCCGCACTGCAGGCCACACAACAACATCAGCAGCAGCAGCAGCAGCAGCAGCAGCAGCAACAGCAACAACAACCGCAGTCTCAACAAGCTGGAGGTGCCCCGTGGCATATCGAATTTTCCAACAATTTTTTCGCCGATGACGACTACGACGCTGCGCCGACGCCTACTGTGCCTGGCGGGCCCCGACGCACGATTTCGCTTTCGCCCATATCGGCTACAGGCGTGGCCACACCCGGATCCCTTGCTGTGGAGTCAGCCGAACCGCCACCTGTCGCGCTCGAACGCAAGCGGTCAAACCTGTCCGCAATAAGTAGTTCAACAAACCACCGCAAGCCGGAAAACAAACCCAGCAACTCATCTTATGAAGAGGCGCTGTCTTTGCCGATCTCGGCCCCAGTGTCTGGGTCGTCCGCCATTTTATCCCCAGCACCATCTTCCATCGCCGCGCTTGAGATCGATTCCGCACCCGCACCACACGTGGGCTACGGCAAGACGAAAGAGGCCGTGCACGGAGTACAGATCCCGACTCAGGCAGCGTCGCAAACCAAAGAAAAACCGGGGTTTTTCAGGCGAGTCTTCGGCTCCTCCAAGAATAATGCTTTGAGCAACACGCCCGATACGCAGAACTCCACGGCCGTCACGTCGCCAACGTCTGTCGACGCCCCCGACCAAAGGTCAGGGAGCAAATCTACACAAACCGCCAACCAAATGAAGCCCTCCGGTTCCGCCACTTCGAGGGATACCTCCTCGTCCCATTCCCAGCATCACGTGCTGCAGAAGAAGCCAAGTTCCTTTTTCCGCCGCAGGAAGAAGTCTGTGTCCGCCGACGAGGTTCCTCCCATGCCAGCCGCCGCCACTCTCGAACCCCCAATGCCCCCCTTGGTGCCCCCGATTCAGTTGGCTGCCGCCAAGGATAAACTTTCTGCGAAACCCGAACCCAGCCCAATTAGTAGCCTCCGCAGAGTCATGAACCCATACCTTAAGGGCAGCCCGGTGACGCCAAACACGCCTTCCACACCACCATCTGCCCCTCCTCTGCAAACTCTCAACTCTGAGATGGCCTCCGATCTCACTCCAGCTTCCCGCGACGACGCAACCGACGAGCAGCCGCGCTCGTTCTCGCCCGATTACGAGCCAAGTCCCAATGCACGTATACGAGAGGTCCGGACTGGGTCTCGTGATGACGATGATTCACCCTACGATTACGAACGGCGCACCGATACCCCGACTCGGCGGCCCCCAGAACCTCCTATGTCGGCAGAGAAGAGAAACAATTCCTTCCTCGACATCGATGGCAGCGACAACGAAGTTGACATATTGTCAAAGCGGGGTAACAATACGCAAAAGGAGACTATGCTCAGGTCTGCCAAGATGAACAAAGATGCGTCACCGCCGCGGAGGAGTGCTTCGGATAGAAAGGACAGAACCCTGAGAGGCAGAAACAACGACAAATTGACCATCGCGCAGACGGAATCTGATGAAGAAGGCAACAGACCATCACTAATTCTGCCGATTGAGGGTACTAGGTCTGCCAGCAGGGCATCAGGATCAACTGCGACCGATTACAAGTCTGCCAAGAGCGGTGCTCCTAGCCCGAGCGTCAGGATCGACGCTTCGGGGAACAGCAGCCCCAAGGCCCACGGCACGTTTGAGTCCATGGCCGCGAAGCCTCTGGATGAGCCCGAGTTCGTTATTGGAGACCCAACAGAGGACGACCGCCAAAAGGCCCAAAAGATATTTGATGGTAACGAGGACTTCATCCAGAAGGAGAAGGCCGCCGCGTGGATGGGCGAAGAAGGCCCCATCCGTCAGAGAACCCTGCAGGCCTATATGGATCTTTATGACTTCACCAACAAGAGCATCCTGCAGAGTCTTCGTTTGGTTTGCGAGCGTTTAGTCTTCAGGGCGGAGACGCAGCAGGTGGATCGCATTTTGGTTGCCTTTTCTAAGCGTTGGTGTGACTGCAACACCAACCACGGATTCAAGGCATCCGGTACGTTTTCTTGTCCATATTCGCGGATGAGGGAGCTCGAGCTAACACGGCATAGATGTCATCCACACAATATGCTATTCAATCATGCTGCTCAACACTGACCTGCATCTGGCTGACATCGAACAAAAGATGACGCGGAGCCAGTTCGTCAAGAACACCATGACCACCATCACTCAGGCGGTGGCGGAGTCGGCTCCCGACGCGTTCGAACGGCCAACCATACTGCCAGGCAAGTCCAACAGCGCTCTTGCAGGCGACGATTCCAGAGCATTGGCCGAGGAGCGTTTCACTTCGCGCCGCTTGTCGTTTCGACCCCCGCCGAGGCACGAGGTCGACGGGTCCGGAGACCACAGCCATGACGAATGCGGGCCCCTGGTGAAGGCGCCATTCGACGGTTCGATGCGCGCCTGGGAGGCTCAGGTCGAAGTCGTCCTCAAGGACATCTACGCCTCGATCCGCGACGAGCGATTGCCACTCTTCGGCGCCGATCCGTCGAAGAACCTCGCGCCGAACTCGCATGGCAGTTTGTCTGTTATTGGCATGTTGAAGCGAACGCCCAGCGTTCTGAGTAAGGCCCCGTCTGAGAGTCAGATATCTATGCGTGGGCGCATAGCTGAAAATGGCCGTGCCCATTCTTCCAGATGGAATTCGAAGAGCAGGTCACGACCTCGTATGGGCAATCCGGGATTCTCTTCATCGCGAACGAGCTTCGAAGACGGAAACTCAGTTTGGAGCCCTACATTATCCTCGGCAACCTGGAGCAAGCTCTCGTTGGGCCGAACGCAAACATCGATGTCTGTCGATTCGCTCAGCTCGTCATTCCGCGGGGGCGACTATCAACAGTCCATCGGATTTGCCAACGCCCTTAGCCAGGCCGTCATCCGTGACGATGAATCAGCTCTCAGTAAGGAGCCATCCATTGTGAGCGATGAACTGAAGCCTACCCATCTGCTCGAAGATGAATCGCTGGAGCTCGCCGGCCCCCCTTGGGTCAAGGAGGGTATGGTGATCCACAAGCACCACCTCGACGGCATCGACAAGAAGGCAAGGGACCGTCATTGGAATGAGGTGTTCGCTGTCATCCAGAGGGGCCAAATGAGTATATTTTCCTTTGCCACTAACAAGTCGGTGGGACGCAAGAGCCGCGGCCGCCAGGCGAGCAAGGGTCCAGCCATCGTAGGAGGTGGCAACTGGCAGGAAAACGCTACTAACCTAGGCACCTTCAGTCTTCGGCAGACTCTGGCGTCTACCCTGCCTCCGCCGGGCTACTCGAGAACTCGGCCCCACGTATGGGCTCTCAGTCTGCCCACGGGTGCCGTACACCTGTTCCAGGTCGGAACCCCGGAAATCGGCAAAGAGTTTGTGACCACGGCCAATTACTGGAGCGCGCGTCTGAGCACGCACCCGCTAGTCGGCGGTATCAGCAATATCGAGTACGGGTGGAGCGATGCCATCATCAATAACGCTCTTGTCGCGGCCATCAACGAACAGACCGCGGGCCCGACGACAGGACGCCAGCGGTCCAACTCGCGGCCCCAAAGCAGCACCATCAACTCTCGACCTAGTATGTCGAGCTTTCGCTCTGGTTCTCTCGACCATGGACCCGGAGGGCCCTACAGCGCCGGCGGCCGTAGCCATAAGCTACCTGGAGACCGAATTCATATAACCGAGTGGGCGCCTCCGACACAGAGCATGCGGCCCAGTAACTTGCCCGAAGAGGAGCAGCTCGAAGGTCTCCTTGCGTACGTCAAAGGCATCGAGGAAGAGCTGCAAGCACACAATCAGCTTCGCAGCCCGATGTTGCTTGCCTTTACGCCCCGTGGCAGCAACGCCGTTCGCGCTATGGCGAACTGGGAGCGGAAGAGCGCTTACCTCTTGCGGGAGATTGTCAAGTTCCGCACCTACGTCGACTGCCTGCAGCAGGCGGAAACACGTAGGAACGAGATCTACATGGAGAGAGACCTGGCCCGACGAGCGGCCAGAGGAGAACTAGATGAAGGCGAGATCGAGTTTGATGCTGGACGAGACACGACAATCAGGGCCTAATGCGTACATTGGCGCCACGGTACGAGCGAGTCTTTTGACCGGAAAACATTACGAGTGGATTTTGCGCGCACAAGCCGAGCTCACGACGACATGACCACATTGGACTCTGGGAGTTTGGGTGGGCATCTCTTTTTTGGAGGGGGGGTTGTTGGCTTGGCAAACCATTTTTGCCATTCATTTGACTTCTCTTCATTTGTACAAACATAAGTTCGATACCCAAACCTTTTGTCATTAACGCCCCCGGCCCTGTGTTCTCACTCTGTCTCTATCTTCCCAAGGCACTTGGGAAGCACAGGCGTTGGTGGGCTTTCCGGTATTTTTAGGGTCTGTGGAAGAAGCATAGCATGCGTTGGATGTTTGGTTTTTTTGTGTTTGGGGGCGGTCCTAGACGGCAGCGCAGTCGAGATAATGATTTGAGGGGGGGGCATGGGAGTGGGATTCTCGCAACGTAGGGAGGGTTAAAGTAATACGGTCACAAGAGGAAAAAAAACAAGACCCAGAAACAAAGCAATAAACTTGGTTCCAACCATAATTTGAACCTCAACTTTAGCTACTCGACAACGATCTGTTGCCTTGGATGCGTCCCTGTGCCCGTCTCTCGCCATTATTGTCCATTGTTTTCCATCCTTTCCTCACGGCAAGCCGTCACACATATAGACAAGACTGGTGTTGGCAATGCGGTAAAAGCGGTATTATTAGTGTGTAGCATTACAAACATTCCTCTGGCCTTGACGGCCTTGATGCCCTTTTCCCAGTCCGTTATACATATTTACATACAAACACACAAACCCGTCGTCTAAAAGATATGAACAGATGGCGGGGAGGGGGAAGCAAGCAACACTGGTCAACCATGCGAAGCTACCCGATTACAGCAGAATGTTGGCGAAGAAACCCGACAGGCAAGCGACCAGGAAGCTGCTCTGCAGGGTTCGGGAAGCGCTGGATGTGGCGATGCGGGTCGGAGTGGGTGTCGCAGAGGCGACGGGAAGCGTGGTCTGCACGTAGGCAGATCCAGTGGGCGAATTGGAGGCCTGTCTCGTCAGAGTGAGTGAGGTGCCGTTAGCACGGGTAATGGCAGTGGCGGACGATACGGGGCCGTTCGTGGTGGACGTCTGGACGCTGGTGCTGTTGAGAGAGACTACAGGACCGTCGGACTGAGCGGCCTTACCCTTGTCGTCAGGCCTGTTGTCCTTGCCACCATTGTTGTAAGCGACACCGCCGGGGAAGGGCTTGTCGCCGGCACCGGCACCGACGACCCTGATGCTTTGCCACTTGCCGTCGGAGCCCTTGGAATACTCGTACAGCTCGGCCCCGGCCTTGTCACCACCGGCGTAGTCCCAGACCTTCAGGGAGCGGTAGTAGCCAGCGAAGGGGCCATTATCCCACTCGGCGAGGCCACCAGCCCAGTCGATGGTACCCTGGGAAGTGCCCTTGCCTCCGACCCAAGTGCCGAGCTTCAACTGCATAGGCGTCTGCGGGTAGTTACCCTCCTCCGGGGTGGCGGTGCGGTAGACCTCGCCGTCAATGGAGAAAATGATGGACTCCTTGGTCCACTCGATGGTGTAGGTGTGGAAAGAGGTCATGGGGTTGAAGGAGACCGGGTGGAAACGTCCATGCGTGTAGTCGTTGACGCCGAGAGCGTAGAAGTTGGTTTGGACGTGGGTCTGGTCGGAGCCGATAAACTCCCAGTCGATCTCGTCAAGGACGTCCGACTGCAGGACGATGCTGGTGACGATCCCGCGGCCAGGAGCAGCCTGGAGCTCGACCTCTACCTTGCCGAAGAAGAGGTAGTTCTTGGAAGTAAGGGTGGGGGCGTTGTTCTCCTCGAAGATGGTCATCTCGGCGCCCGTGTCGGCGGAAAAGGACATGACCTTGGAGTTGAACTTGACGCCGCCGTCGACGACGAAGAAGGACTCGAGGTCGTCGATGTTCTTGGAGGTCCGGAAGTCATAGTCGGCCTGATTGCCAAAGGCCGGATTCGGGGGGCAAGCTGAGGACACATGTCAGCATTGTAGTACCGTTAAGTGAGGTGATTGGGGCCGCCTTAAGCGGGTGTAAGTGGGGGTTGGGGGCACTCACTGTCGCCCTTCACAGGGTTACACACCGAAAAGGTCTGGGCGGATGCTAGGCCAGCAGCGGCCAGACCCAAGGCAGCGTATCTCATCATTGTTGATTGGTTGTGACGAGGGCGGTGGTTGTGTGCGGTACGCGGGCGTGTCCGGTGGGACGGGTGTGAACGAGTGGTGTTGGCTTGCTAAAGAACAGAGGGAGGGGCAAATGGAGCGATAGCCGGGGTATATAGATGGAAACCCAGGATGAGCCGCCGCAACCAAGCTATGCAGGATCACCGATGTCACTTTCCCGGGGAAGAGGATGGGCCAAATATAGATATCTGGGAAGGCTAGCGGTGACGAAAGAAGGGATCTAACGTAGCACGGGGGGACGAAGGAACTAACGAAGGTGAAAGGGGTAATCAAAGACTGACTGGGTTAGGTTTGTGAAACCAAGAAACGAGAGGCTGGAGAGTCTGGGAACAAGGTGAGTCGACGGTAAAGAAGGCGAACACGACCCTTTTTACCGAAGGCAGGCAGGGGATGAGCGAGACATAAGATGAAAGCAGGCGGCAAACGGCTCTAGGGGCCAGTTGGGTCGGTAATTGGATGTCAGTAAGGCATTTTGGACTCGACCAGCCATCCCAAGAAATCCCCAAGACTCTCATCTCAGACAGCCGTTTACCATTTGTCTCTTCTTCTGTTCTAAGTACCTGCCTAAGGTAAAGCAGGTACCCCAGCAGGTACCTAGGTAGTTACCTAGGTAGTAAGTAAGATGACACGGGCGGACGGTCTTGTCTCGTGTGACTCCTTCCTGCTGCAAATCGCTCTTGCCATTTACCTTAGGTAGGTAGGCACCGGTCGGTAGTCAGTCTCCAACCACTAACGAATTCGCGCTTGCCAAGTCGACCAAGGCTAGGCTAGCAAGCAAGAGAAAGGGAGGAGCTGGGGTCCGAAGGAGGTAGGTATATTTTCCCTAGAAACACCGCGCAAACGTACATAGGCCCCGCCCGATTGGTTATTGCCGCCGCAAGCAGGAGATTACCTCAGCTGCAGGCGCGCCTTCCTTCCTTCTTGGACTGGCACGTACCCCGCACATTTTTGTCTCTTCCGCACTGCATGCATGTAAGTGGTCGCGCTCCTCTTGCTGCGCCAACGCTCCTGCATTCTTACACCGTCTTCGTCATGGTGTTCCAGTCCCAGGAGCAACTACTACTACTACTACTACAAACTCAACTCGGTCCAGCTCAACACCGTCCCCCAGCCTTTGCATTCCAACCGAAGCCTCACGTCCTCTGTTGCCGTTCCGTTGACAGCCTTCGACAAGGCCGACTTTGCCTCTTTCCAGCCCTCGGTAGGATTTCGTCCCTATTTATCCAGCCTTGTCTCACGCTTAAACAGCATGAAGACATTCCGACCCCTCACGTCTTCCCCTCCACCCATCACATTCTCGGCATGCTCGGCATGCTCGGCCGCAATTTCGAATTGACCAACCGTTGTCGCAACCGGCGCTGTTGGATCCCCCATCATCTCGGGTGGACTCTATCAACGAAACACGCATATGCGTCGGGCAATAGCCTCCCCTACTCTGCGTCTGCGGCACAAGCCATGCTGTCCAATCCTAAGCCTCGAGGGAAGACGACCGATCGGGCTGGGGCCAGATGCCAAGACCGCTTGTCGTCTCTTGTGTTATGCGAACAGGCGGGTCAGGGACGAGCCCGGTCGAGCTACATCCGAAATTGCTCTGTGCATGCCCAAGTGGTAGGTAGTTGAGCCACCAGATTGACTGCATCACGTCCGTAACGAAGCATCATTTGCCCTTTCGAAGCGACTCCTGCTTTTGGTTCGTTTTTCTGTTGCAATTTTTTTTTTCTTTTGCAAATATCTAGCGGTTAACTGTACCCCGTAACCGACTAGCAATTCATGGTTTGCATCTCTGTCTCTCTTCGCACGGCCTCTGCCGCACAAACCTGCGACAATGCACTTGTTCCCATCGCCCCTTGCATCGATCCGTCGTAAGCCTCGTAGCGGCGCCGGGCGAGCCCGTTCCGCGACCATCCCTCTGCGCGTCCTCGGCACTTTCGTATTCGGCGTTTCATGGTCTCAAGCCAAGTTGGTTTTCGTCAAGAAGGGGGGCAAGAAGTGAACAGAATGCTATAAACAAAAAACAAAACCCGACCGACCGTGGTTTACTCGCTGATAATGATCAACCGACACGCAAACCACCAGGGCAATTTCGAAGAAGAAAAAAAGAAGAAGAAAAAGAAGAAGAAGAAAAAAAAAAACTGATTCCTCGCTCGTATTGAAATGCTAATAAAACAGTCGCACCGCTTAGCAGGTGTCGAGCATCGAAGCGAGGGCCGTCTTCTCGGCAGATGTGACAGTGAGGGCCCAGTAGCTCTTGACCTGCACCCAACTTCGGGCATAGACGCAGTAGAAGCTTGCCAGAGGAGGCTTCCAAGAGTCGGGGCTCTTGTCGCCCTTGGCCTGATTGACATTGTCTGTGACGGCCCACAACTGGGGACGTGTGAGGTCGTTGGCGAACTGCTGGCGCTTGGCAGTCGTCCACGATGCGGCACCGGACTGTCGTCCCATGTTAGCATTTATACCTTGCTAGGTACTCATCATCAGGGGGGACTCACGACCCAGGCGTTCTTCAGAGGCACCATGTGGTCAATGTCGACATCGCTTGCCGCGGCCCAGGTCGCACCATCGTAAGGGCTCAACCAGCTGCCGCTAGTGGCAGAGCAGGCAGAATTGACCACGACATTGGTGCCATCTCGCTGAAGCACCGTCTCACGCGTGTTGCAGCTACCAGAGATGGTCGACCAGTGGGGGAACAGGTCACGGTCGTACGTGTCCGTGTTGGTCCACGCACTCACTGTCAAGGCAGCAAGCTGTGTCTTGGCCGTGGAAGCGGAAGGGATGCCGGGCTGGAAGCGAAACTTCAGTTAGCTTGCGAGGTCCATTTCTGGTGGGCCCGAGTATTCAATGCGGGGGGGGGGAGGGGGTCTTTCGGCACTTACGGGACTGGGCATCGGCATTGGCTCGGCAACCGGATTAGGGACCGGAGCGGCGAAGCCCGCGCCGGCGAGCATGAACAGAGCGGCGGCGACCTTCATGATGGCAATTGGCGGATACTGGTGACCGAAGCGACCGAGCAATAACGAGGATGAGGGTCGGAAGCTATAGTGAACGAGCGGCTTGGCACCAAGGGTAAAGAAGGATCTCCCAGAACGGGAGATCAGCGATGGTTTATATGTTTTGTTTGTCTCCTTCTTGTTTATCTCGCCGGCTGCATTGACGTCTCCATGATCGGCGGGCCACGATGGTCCCAAGTACAGGTTTCCTTCTGTTCAACGTGCCCCCAAAACTCCACAATCGTGTCGTCCCGTGCCCGTCGAACCATTCAGCGCCCTTCCCGACCCCATGACTCGTCTACCTGTCATCTTAATCTCCAAGTCGACCTCCCAAGAGCCCGCACTCGATGCAGCATCGGAGGCAATGAAACGCCGCGCTGTTGTAAACGAGGCGCTAGGTCGGGTCGCAGTGCAACTCAAAGCAGACGTCTCCCAGGACTTAGCAGGGGGGGGCCACAGGGTTCAGCCGGCGAGCTGACAGCTGTCTATGGCCTTTATCTCTGCTCCCATTGGTGGGGCATCGTCCATCTCCAGTGTCGATGCACCCCTTCCACGCTGCCAGCCGCCTCGAGCCAATCCCCAAACCAACCACTCATATCAACCGGCTGCCGCACGTTATCTTATCGGTCCCTGTCAATCACCTGCGCAGGAGGGATAGAGGGATACCTAGGTAATATGCTTTGGGCTGTGACTATTGTCCTCTCCGCTGCACGTTGACCCCCTTCCCTCCATGCCCCCCCGGCTTCCTCGACTCTGGCGTACGCGGCTTTCCACGAACCTTCCTGTTTGGGTACCGGCTGCCTACTCTGTGTGGTCGAGAGAGCAGCCTATCTTACGCAACGACCAAGATAGCAACCTCTTAAGACGGCGCGAAGCCCTATGTCTCACGCCAGACGAATAGAGGCAGGTGCAGGTGGACGGGAGCATAGATCCGTTTCCACCGCCGGGCCACGCGCAGAACCCGGGGGAGACCATCTCGGAAGCTGGTTGGATTGCTTTTACGACAGGCCGAGCAAGCGCTGATGGCGATCGCCATCCGCAAGCGGTGTAGGCACCTGTCATAGTTCCCACCATCTCTCAAAAGAAGCGTCGAAGCCGTCCCCGTGAGCCCGGCCCATTGGTCGGGATCCATTACTCGCGCGAAGCGGACCTATCCAAGATACCGGCGACGCAAGCCCACATTTCGACCTCCGATCGGACCTTGCATCTATCTGATCAAGCTAAAGTGGCTGCAGGTTGGGACCTCTTTGGGAAGGCACAGACAGCTCGGAGCACGAGGCCCTTCCCATCCACACCTTTTCGAACGTGCCCTCGGAATCCTCAAATACCCTCAAGTCGTACCTAGTCCCGTACATCCGGCGCTTCCGCCAAACCAACTTCTTTATCAACATGGCATGGCGTTAGCCACAATGAGCCTGGGTCCAACGTTGATGAAGCCCGGCAGCCAAGCCCGAGTCCCAAGGCCCGTGCATCTCGATATCTTGGCCGCGGCGGGGGGGGGGGGCTGTGCGCTTGCCAGACTCGGCTTTGAACGTCTTGCTCGCCCTCCTGCGCGCCTTGGAGCACATCTCCTCCAGCCTGTTATGGGACTCGGGCCGTATTGGGTGCGTGGTCGCCCGATGGGCCGTAGTCTCGTTGGTGCGCACCGCCAGGTGCAAAGAGAGGTGTGCTAACTTGGCTGCGGGGGGACATGGGCACATTTTCGGCCTTGGCTACCTACCGCATACCATGCTTCGAAGACTGGGCCGAGGCAGGGTCTCTCTGTAAGTGAGTGTTGTGGGATGATAGAGTTACACAAGCGTCTAGGTAAGATGCAGGGGACTGTTGAGATTGCGGGTCCGTATCTAGGCTTTTACTAAGGTTCGTTAAGCTGGTCCCAACCTGGCGCCATACCTTCCGTGCTGCTGATGATCTTGGGGGAATCCCAGAATCAGATGCGATTGTACCTATCATTATACTACTTGCTTATGCCGGTGGGTGCGTCAGGCGGAAGTCCGTCACCTTCTTGTATCCGTGACAGCCCACCACCTACCTCCCCGAGGTCCTCGGCCTCGGCGAACTTTCCCGTGAAGCTTCCCTTCACGACGTTCCGGGCGGCTATCATTTTGCCGCCGGGCCGCAGCATCTTGAAGATGCTACCAGCATTGCAGCTGTCCAAGTCGCACTTGAGGGGTCTCGTCAGGCCGATGGGGAATTTGAGGATCGTGCCCGGTATTGCGTGGTACGAGGCGACGGACGCCCGGATGTTGTCGCGGAACTTGGCATCGCGGACTGGACTCGTGGGATATGGTGGCGGAGGATAACGAGCAGGTATGACTCCGGTGGCCGTTGACGTTGACCTCACCTGCGAAACCAGGATAGGCTCCAGTGCCTCAAGGTAGACACGGCTCGACGCAGACGGCCCCACCCACTTCTCGCGCAGCTTGACCAGCATGTCGGCGTTTAGGCCCCTGTCTTCTTTGACTACCGCTACTACTGATGGTAGGAGAAGCGTATCGCGACCCTCGCGCGCGAGTCCCCTGTTTCCCAGAGCCCGTTGCCATACACTGTGTCGTTCTTGATGTGGTTGACGGCCGTCAGGAGGCGGAGGTGATGGCCGGTGCCGGGAGGGCCAGGGTTCCAGACGTAGAGCGTCGTGTCTCGGCGGAGCGGCCGGGACCGGCGTCTTCGCCAGAATTGTGCGACTTGCTCCACCTTCTCCGTATGATATACTAGCTCCTCTGGCGTACGCTGCTGATCTCTAGGCTGTGAATTCTTGAAGTCGAGCAGTTACATCAAAGCTGGTGCCCGAGCATCCCCGCAGGCTTCCTAATGGATATAAATAAGTCTTTCTCCCTCAACTTTGACCCGGCACGCACGATGCCAATGAGGTCAAAATCACGTTGTAGGGCCGCCCGCATAAAAGCTAGGGTGCACCACCACGAAATGAATCGTGACACGCGACACTGTGCGCACCTGGAACCGTTGCTAAGAGGCTTTGGTAGGGTTTGAGACACAAGCATACTGGAACAGGGTACGGCGATCAACCTTACCACAGGTAGCAGGCGCTTCCGATCCGGGGATAGGGAGGGACTTTGACGGAACATTTCCTGTTCCGATCGGGACCACAGATATAAGATTGGCCTGATCATAGGTAGACAGAGGGGGGGGGATCATCGAACTTTTCTTCTTATTTTCAGAGACCCATCTTTTCGCCTGATTGAACTAGAGCCTTTCTTACGAGTGACTGGTTGAACGTGATAACACAAGACGATCGGGAGAGTTACTCCTCTGATCAACACAAGACCTGTCTCGATCAAGCGCGTAGTCCGTCCGATTAGAAGGACTCAAACGCTCTGCTCAGGTCGACTCTGCTGATTGAGGAAACATCTTGTGTTGCCTTTGGGGGTTGTTGGTGTTTCCTTCTAGATCACCGCACCGCATTGGTCCTTCCTACCCTACGCTCTTCCAGTACCTTGGTTGCAATTACAACAGTAGGCTGTTTGATGCCGGTGTCCTCGAGCTGGTGTCTCGCCATGGCCAAACCAACTCTGCCTGATGGTGAGCATGATGCCTTGGCGACAGAACAAACATTAACGTGGGGCTTAGCAAGCCTATGATTTATATATAGAATATCATATTGGTATTGGTATAAACGCTGAAAATCATGCGACTGGTATATAGTTTACTTCACTATGCCTCAACTCCATGCCATGCAAATCGTCAAGGTAAATAAATCACTTTTGCAGGCCTATCCGTGGCCACAAACCGAGATGAAAACGCCCTGCGAGCCTCGAGGACATCGAGGCCATAACTTAGACCCTCTCTTGGTGAGAAGCGCCATTGGATCCCTTTGGCTCCATACTCTTCTCGCTGCTCATGGCGTTCTCGTTCTCGATAGCGTCCAATTCCGTACCGGCCTGCTTGCGGATGCGGTTCATCTCCTCGGCGGAAGGCGGCACCCATTGAGTGCTCTTCCAGGCGGTCACGCGCTCCAGATACATGGTGTCGATTTCCTCGAGGGTACGGCCCTGGCCCTCAATGACGAAAAAATAGACAATGGCGGCGCCGACCAAGTTACAACCGGCAAAGACGTAGCCGTAACGGAAGTCGATGGCCCCAGTGATGAAGGGAGAGAAGAAGCCGATGCAGAAGTTCCATATCCAGTTACTGGCTGTTGAGAGGGCCATAGCCTTAGCGCGGTAGCGGGACGGGAAGAGCTCGGCTTGGATGGTCCAGACCTAGATCGAGTTAGTGTCTGATACGACCCGCTTAGTCTTTGGGTGCCAAAAGCTTACCATAGGACCCCAGGTGGTCGCAAAGCCCAGGATGAACAGGCAGGCGAAGACGATGAGGATGATTCCAGGGCCGACAGTATTCTGGGGGTTTACCCGGTCGAGACTAAAGTGGCCGACGGAGGCGAAGACCAAAAAGCAGACGAACATCCATATGGAGCCTGTGATGAGCGATTTGCGACGTCCAAAGTGCTCAACAATGTAGAGACCAATGAAGGTGGTGCCGAAGTTGATCGAGTTGAGAATGATCTGCGTGATAAAGGAGTTGATATTAACGGAGGCGAAAATGGTGGTACCGTAGTAGAAGAAGTAGTTTGCACCAGTGAGCTGTCGCGGGTTGTCAGTGTTTGTGGGCCACAAAAAGGACATCAGATTTGGTCCATACCTGCTGGAACATTTGCAGACCGCAACCCAGGGCAATGCGGTAGGCCATGCGGGGTGCCTTGAACATGCCGGTGAACTCTTGGACAGCATTGCCCTTGATCTTGGACTCGGCACGGAGCTTACTCTCAATCTCCTCGAGCTGAATGTGGATGCTGTAGTGGTTCTCGGGGGCGCCGTAGACGCGGCAGAGTGTGCTTTTTGCCCGCTCAACGTTGCCCATGCGATAGTCGAAGCGAGGTGTTTCCGGAAAAGCCAGGATGCCCAGACCAAGGATGATGGTCCACAGCCAGCCGAGACCGATGACGATACGCCACGAGCCAGAGCTGTGCTCGAGGTGCGAGACGGTGCCGTAATTGAAGCAGGCGGCCAGGAAAATGCCAAGAGTAATGAAGAGCTGATAGGCGCACACGAGAGCACCGCGAATCCATGGCGGAGCCGTCTCTGCCTGGAACATCGGGACGATGAGGCTCAGGGCGCCGACTCCGAAGCCGGCGACGAAACGGCCCATCATGATTTGCTCCCATGCTCTCTCGGCGGCGATCTGAATGACGAAGCCGACGGAGGTGACGACGCACCAGAAGGAGATGGAGTAGCGGCGTCCGAAGCGGTCGGCTATGGGGGCGGCGCACAGAGCACCAATGAGTGTGCCAATGGAGAGGAGACCGACGATCAATCCGGAGCGGACGTTGCTGAAGTGGTATGTACCATCGGGGCCGGCTTCGCCGAAGCGCTGGAGGAAGTCGGGCATCTCGAGGAAGCCAGAAATTTGACCCGTGTCATATCCGAAACTGAAAGGTTGTCAGTGGTTGGTTGCTCCGTCTCTAACTGCTGTTTTGGATCTACCGGTACTCACACCATGCCTCCCATGGAAATGAGAATGCCCATGGCCCATGACCGCCCCGTGATGCGCTTCAGTGGGGAGTAGTCAAGGTGGGCGAGGTCCTGGCGGGCATCGCTTGCCTTTTCCGAGGCAGGATTGTACTTGTCGAACTCAATCGTCGAGAAACCCATGTTGGGCGACGATTTGATTGTATTGGGGTAAAGGATAGGTGGGATTGTTTGATGGTTGAGGCCAATGATGGTTCGTCCGAGAAGAGTAAGACAATATTGGTGAGAGGACACGACGGGCGGTATATATGCTTGTTTCGGTCGATCGAGACACGACACGCGACACACGACACACACGACACATGGCGCAAGCACTGAGCACCACTAGCAACGTGGGCCCCCGTAAGAACACGACAGTTTCTGGGGGAGTAGGCAGCGTGTGGGAGGGCGTCTCAGTAGTCAGGGGCGTGACGTCAGGAGAGAGTGGGAGAGAGAGGACTGTGTGTCAACGGGGCGGAAGAGGCGGAGACGATGCTAGAGTTTGCGTGTCCGATGACTTGGGATGGACTGTGGGCTGGACACGTGTGGATGGCACCGAGGTGTTTCCGTCCGGGGCCTGGGGTCTCCAGGTTGAGGAATCGGCCCGTTCCCCATCATTCTGGCCTCAGAAACATGAACTAGGATGGCGAGAAATTGGCGTAAAGCTGTGAGGCGGGGGCGACATGGAGAATGGAAACCTAAGGGCGGCTGGCGTGATAGACAGCCGGTTGCGGCTCTGGGAATGATGGGCAACCGTGGGAGGCCGACGGCGTATCCAGGAACAGTGGAGAGGAAGGCGTGTCTCTACAGTGATGAGCGGGTCTTCCCTGGTATTGGCGAGTCTGGTTGTCTTGTCTATCAGTATCGACGGTATCGAGGCCGGAGAGGGATGGAATGACGTTGGTTGACGTTGGTGGAGTGGTGGAAACAAGAATGGGGGTGTGGGATGATGTAAATCGGGCGAGAAGTGTGCGCCAGTTGTAGTAGAAGGGGAAGGGTCCCCCGCCGTCAGGTGCGAAGGTTGTCGTAGGGCACAGCGAGTACCTTTTGTGTGGTAATGTGTGGAAAAGGTACATAGTGCCAACTACCCATTTCACGGAAGGTCCAGGGTGCAGGCCTGTTGTCCCTGCTTGCGACCCATTAGGTACCATGTAAACTACCAGGTAAACTGCCTAGGTATTCTCTCCCACGGGGTTTTGGGTCAGTGGAGTAGGGAAAAACTAGAGGGTCAGAAAGAGATCAGTTGCGTCCAAGTGCTTGGATTATAAACGTGGCAAAGTATTTTTGTCGTATATAGTAAACGGGATCGAGAAGGAACCCAACAGAGCCATCGCAATATGACACTCTCCGACAACCCTTGTGCCTAGGGCGCAAGTAGATAGATACCTAAGGTGTAGGTAGATGTACGTTTACAAATATTCAGTAGCGTACCTCAGTGTACCGTACCTAGGTAGGTATGCGTGCCATGGTCTTGCATCGGCCGGCAACACGCAACGGAATGCAACTTTACCGCGGCCTATCGCCAATAGTAGCCAACCACTAAGCAACTTGCCCTTTCCGACCAGGTAGGCGGACCTCTCGGGCCTTGTGCCAAGGGCCGATGCTCCCAGTTACCGACCGGCATCGCCGTCCTGTTGCGCTGCGACTGGCTGGTATTTTCCTCTCCCGACAGCCCCTCAACAAAGTGAACCATTCGGCCGCCACTCCAAAAAAGGGAAAAAAAAGAAGCCAAGGCCCAGTGGTCCTAGAGCCGCTGCTGATTACCTACACCAAAATGCTACGTGGAAGTCTTGGAAGCAGCGAACAAGCTCTTTCCATCACCGGGCCAGAAAAACCTTGATTGAACCACCCGACATCGCCCTTTCCGTTTCCCTTCCTTCTCTTTTCCATCCGACGCCTCCTTGCCTCTTTCCTCCTTACGTGCGTCCTTCTTTCCCAAGGTAAGGTACCCTCCCTCAGGTACGGATGGATACCGAGGTACAGAGGTATTTGTGCCAGGTGCCGCGACCCACTTTCAACCCAGATGACGTACATCGTAAAAAAAACAAAAAACACACACACACACAAACACCTGCGTGGTCGTGACTGAGCTTCTTTTTCATCCATGGCCTCTCTTCGGCCCTTCTCTCTCCTCATCCCCAGATATACTTCCTTCTCCAGCAATCCCCGGGTTTTCCTGCTTTCTGGAGTCTGGAGTCTTCTCCTCCCCTATCTCCGGACTCTGGACTCGTTTGTCGGTCGTAGTCCGAGATGATCTGCAAGCTTTGGCTCCAATCCGCGCATCCACCCGACAAGCCATCGTCGTCTTCCCCTCGGGACACCCGGATTCTTCTCGACTGTGCCCGCTTCCCCCCCTCTCTCCAATAGGTCTTTCGGCACTCCCTCCGGGGAACGACATGCGAATCAATCAAGTCCGTCTCTGAGTCTCCACTGTTTCGGCCTTCGCCACCTTTCCGCTGCCGTCGATCACATCATCAACACGCCGCTTATCTGCCCCTTTCCGATCGAGACTCTCGCCATCGCTTGTTCCCATGGGGCCCGGTAATGTCTCCTCCACTATTACATTACTAACACACACAAACAGTCGCCATAACCATGGTTCAGAGGCATCTTCCTCTTGGCCGGACACGAACATCGGCAATCCAAACGTACGGCAGGGGGGCTGCCCCCAGGTGATGAGACGAGATGCATCTAGGATTTCCAATTTTCAACACCACAAAGGGGAGAAACGGACCTGGATGAGAAATCAAAAATCAGAAATTAACGGGCTGCTCCCGGGGTTGACCGATAATGTTTGCGGCCGCCCAATAGCCGACTACCTATGGCTAACTGGTTGGGATCAGGTGCGTGTCGGATCTTCAACATGGCCATCCTACTGCAATAGCTCATCTCCATGATGGCTTATCTGCAATGTCACAGCTAGCATGCATTCCTTGATGAGTATGGTTTCCCACTTTTCTCGGTCGCTTTACGGCGCATTTCTCAATTTGCTATGCACGACATCTTTGGTGCACACATAGTAATACATGACAAACTCACGCACGGGTCCATCTTCTTTTCGAGAGCCCCCCGGTTTCACGTCCGAAGCTTTCAAGATAATCTCTGCCCCTCGAGACAATGCCATCGTCGCCACGACAGCCCACCTGCAATTCTCAAACTCGTCCAGACTGCAGGCTCAACAAGCCTATGAATGTTGTTATGCGACTCACCACGTGGACTCCAGGCCGTCCACCCCCGTCGGCTTATCCGCCAGTGCCGTGATCCGGAACCCGTGTCGGAGTCCCTCCTGTGGGTTATGGACGTTGTAGTCCGAGATGGCCGTGTGCGCCGTTACGCGGTTGTCCCACAGCGCCACCGTTCCCTCTTCCCACTTGACGCGCACCTGGAAATCTTGGCCGTGGTTGATGTGCTGCAGAATCCGTTAGCCCCCAACTATTCTCACACAGCATCCGATCACGTACATTGAAGAGCAGCTTCAGCAGCGCGTCCGACTCTTCGTCTCGAAGCCCAATGATCTTCTTCGTGAAGCCAGGGTTGACGAACAATGCCTTTTGGCCGGTGGCCTAAAGAGACAGTTGTAAGTAGGTCTGCGTCATGCACCAGCATTCGGAGCCGACCTACCCGGTGGATGCGAACAACGGGATGATCCGACTTGACCGGCTCCCTCCTCACGAACCTTCCATCCCGGCGCGCGTTGTCGGCTTGAGGATACCCGCTGTGCTCTGCCCTCAGCCCCTCCAAGAGCGTCTGTATTGGCCTTGAGAGCCGGGCATACGCCGCCGTCTGCGACACCCACGCCGTGTCGCCACCGGTCTCGGGCACCGACAGCAGCGTCAGGATCGTGACGCCGGGCGGCTGGTGCTCGTACGAGACGTCCGAGTGGTACCCGATGGTCGAGAGCTTGTTGCTCTTGCTCCGGTTACGGTACTCGTTGTCCGGACCCAGGTAGATGTTGTGGAACTCAAGGTTGTCCCTGACGTGGGCACCCACGGGCTGTCCCCCGTTTTCCGTCAGTAACGCTTTTCGGGTCACGCGAGAGTTGGGGGCGACGAACGTGGATGTGGAGGGGACCAAAGGATCGCCCGAACTCCTTCTGCTTCTCGGCGCCGATGTTCTTGAAGTCCTGGTCGCGGAAGGCGACGACGCCCCGCTCGGCGATCAGGAGCGCGAGCTCGTCCTTTTGCCTGCTGTTGAGCCGCGATAGCTGAAGGCCCCTGATCTCGGTTCCGATGACCGGGGTCAACTTTGTCGCCTTGATCTCCGGGTGGCCCTTGGGCAAGAGGTTGGCCTTCTCCCTGTGTGCTGCGAGCCCACGGTCGTTGAACTTGAACGGCTGCAGCGGAGGGAATGACGTCTTCTCGTCGTAGACGGGCAGGTACTGTGAGTACTTGTACTGTCGCGAGGTGTCAGTATCTCGGTCTTTTTCTGCGGCAGATCGGGTGGTGCTAGTTAGGTGGTGTACCTGATCATGAATCTCATCATCGTATGCCAGGGTCAGCTTGACGGGCGCCGCCTCGGCCTGTGTCTCTGTAGCTGTGATGGAAGACATCGTGGTTGCTGTCTTTTTTATATATATTCTTTTCTTTATTTACTATCCTTTTTCTTTACGTAGAAACACCAAGTGCTTTTCTACAAGACACCCCTCAAATGGGGGCACATGACTTTAAAAGTACACGCATAGTACCGGAAAAGAAAAAAGAAGTATAGAAAATACGCAGACGAATCGCCATCGCGTCAATCGAACGAGTGATGGCGAACACTTGGAGCCATCCACCCCGCGATTTACGCCATTGGCACCGCGTATGCGGAGAAACCCGCAGACAAAGAGGTCCTTCGCGAGCAATCGTTGTCGATAGGACTGTTATCGACGGCTTCGGGGGATGGAAGGGGGGGAGGGAGACGCATTGCATCACCGGGATCGACGTCCTAATTGCTCGTCACACGGAGGATTACAGTCCTCCTGATGTAAGTACGCAGCACTAGCCACTTTCTCTGCGTGCTGGATACTATCGTGTTGCGCGTCGTGTGGGTTGGCGTTTTTTGTTTTCTTTCTTTTTTGTCGTGATCTCGGCGGGGATGGCATCAGAAGTGGTGCTGGCCAACCGGAGGCAGAGACGGGACCGGTTCGGCAGACGTCTCCACTCCTCGGTGCGGGTTTTCGGCCATTTCACTGCATTTTTAACCCACCCCGAGACTGAATGCTCCTGCACAGCACTTTTGGATCACGCAAAGGCCTGGAGTGGGACCGACAACTTGACCTAGTCAAATGCATTGATGCTCACGAGAAGGCAGAGAGCACTGCAACATGATACATCTGGTATGACCGAACGCCTTTGCAATATCGGAGCGTGCACCTACGTGTACCGCAGTATTGATAGACCGATATGATGTGACTCCGGTCCCTAAAAGTCGTCCACAGCCTCGGCTGATGGCCGAGTGTATCCCTTGGCAAGAAGCATGCCGAAAGTGAGGTTGCGAATACCTTCGGCTTCACTGCATTTTTAACGCCCCCCAAGAGTTTCTTGGTGCGCCCACCTTTGGAATCTCACCGTAATCTGGAAGCAGGCAAATGCTCCTACATGCACCCACACTTTGCATGACTATTTTACCGATACTGATGCAACCCTTACAGAACCCTAAACACCAGAGCAAGCGCGGCAAACCGTGAAGTTCCCCATCTTGAGAAGCATGTTTCTTATTATGTTCACTAAGCAGCCAAACCCAAGTCCTCGTAGAACGGCTCCATAAGAACATCCGGCCCCAAAAAGTTCGCCAGCGTCTTCATCTGGGGCAGCCTTCCTCCCTTCTCGAGCACGCCGTACCGGTACCTTCGGCCTGCCTCCTCGCTCATGGGATTCTTCTTGAAGACTGTGCTGAAGATGTCCTGCGCGTAGGCTGTCGAGCTGTAGTAGAACCGGGTCAGCCACGCCAGCACTTTGATTGCGCGATAAGTGGGGTAAAACTTACAAAAGGTAGCCGTAGAATCCAGCATCGTATTCGTCCATGAGGAAATCCCAGTTGGTGTATCCGTGTCCCCACTCGCCACCCTCACCGAGAGCGGATGGGTCATCTGTTGGGACCATCTCCCTCCGGAGCTCGTTCCAGAACTTTGTAAAGTCTGTGGATTCAACCGCATCCTGGCTGGACGGCTGATGGACGGCCATGTCGAAAATACCGATGGATAGCTGTATCAATGCGCTCAGCGCCCCGCCGACATGCTTGCTTCTCAGGAGACCCTCAGCCACATCCCTAGGAATCCTCTCCGGCGGTTGCTGCGCGTGACTGTTCCCTTCCAGGGCCTGCCAGTCTTGAAGGCACGCCTCCGAGAGATAAGAATAATGCCGGCTCAGTCCGCTCAACTGCTCCGGATCCCAGCACCAGTTCTCCAGCATCTGGCTCGGCGCCTCGCCAAAGTCGACGGCGGTGCCCATTGGCCCGTGAAACCGCGCGAGCTGCGTCCGAGAGACGAGTTCGTGGATGCCGTGGCCCAGCTCGTGGAAGAGCATCACGACGTCGGAGTGGCGCAGCAGCGATGGCGGGTTGGCGGAGGCAGGGGGCAAAGCTGCAGATCAAAGCTGTGGACGGGTGCGTGCGAGTTCCGTCTCGGTTGGTGAAGCCCTGCGTAGAGTGTCAGCATACGGTTGCGGATCAGTAATGCAAAGGGGAAAGAGTTTTACCGGGATGATGCTGCAGTTGGAGGGATTGCCTTTTTTCGCATCTCGACAGTAAAGGTCAAGGTAAAGGTATCCTAGAAACCCACCACCCTCGCCCTCGACGTCCCATACGGCAAAGGTCTGGACGTCTTCATGCCAGACCAAGTCGTCTCTGTCGGGATATTCGGCTGTTCAATGATGGAGCCGATCCGCGGTCACGTGATCTACAATCACGTGACTCACCTCGGCGGCTCACTTACACCACCACGAATATCCGCGGCAACAACTTCTTCTTCTTTTTCCTATCATCATCTTCAACCAGCAACCAATAGTCAATTGATACTATTGCTGCTACCGCGATCGCGATCCCTGTGATACCAACAGTCTCCTTTGCCCGTGGGCGATAGAGTATCTCTCTCCCCACCCTGGATCTCATGGAACACCATCCCGAATAGGTGTTGGAAGATGCGCAACATTCCTTCGACTGTCGGCTGCAGAGGAAAGTACTCTGCGATCTTTTCTTGGTCAACTGAGTATCTCTCCTGCGAGAGGAGACGTATGTCGTATTGCACATCCCAGACGTATAACCGCCCATCAAAAGCCTCACCTCGGGCTTCGGCGTCGCGTCGCTTGACCTCGAGAAGAGCTTCACGCTCCGCCTTGCCGGCCTGGGTCAGCTTCGACCTCAAAGACGAGAGGAAAGTGTTGACGCGCTGGGGCGATCCGGCCATCCTGTCCTCGACACTGAAGGCGGCGTGGTTGGCGTATCCCAGGAGCCGCGCCGCTTCGTGGCGAAGGGCCATGACTTGGCGGAAGACGGCGACGTTCTCTGGGCAGCGGTTCTCAAAGGCCGCCAGGGCTCTCTTCCGCGTCTCGGGGTTGCGTGCGACTCCTAAGAGGCGCCCGAGCTGGCTGGGCAGTCAGATGCGGTATTTGCCATCGTTCTCACTGCCCGTTTGCCCCTTTTCGAGATGGGCGAGCAGGTGTTGTGGATACTCATCGAGTTCGTCAAGTGTGAACCACACGGCATGATCGGCCTCGGCCACGTTCTTGCTAAACTCTGACGTCAGGTCCTCGATTCTGCCTTTCACCTCTTTGAAGCAGTCTCGCTGGGGCCCGGCCGGGATACGAAGGCCGTTCTTGACAAATTCTTTGTGTTTCTGACTAGGTAGTTCCTTTTTTCAGAGTCTAAACTCTGAGAAACGTCGCTGTTGTTGTACACGGCATCCACGAGACAGAATATGCATTCGTTCATGGAACATTCGATGGCAAAGTCGCGCAACATGTTGCGGGCTTTGGCAGAGGCAGCACGGATATCAGGGGACGGAGACACGGCCTTGTAAAACACGAGAAGGGTGGATTCAGAGGCCAATGCATTCTCAGCGTGTGAAAGCGCGAGGAGGACGTTGTCGTAGCTTGCGGTGGACGGGGTGACGGGGTCTGCAATGGCTTCTTGGGCGATCCGGGATGTCTCGATGAGACGACTGATGTCGGCGATGATTGAAGTTGGCGTCGCGGTGAAAACGGGCGGCGCTTAGGGCAGACTACGGAGGTGTGATGAAGAGCCAGTCATTGTGAAGATTCAGACTTCAAGTCGGAGCGGGGTAATGAGAGTTTGGAATGGTTTGGTCAGTTCGTGCTTGCTTGAGGTTTGAGAGTATGAAGTCGGATCATCAAGTATTTAATCATCTCAACAGCCCGGACAGTCACTATCTCGATCTTTTATCATGTCGTCTTTTGGTGAAGAAGACTTGTTCAGGATAGGAAGGTCGTTGGTTGGTTAGGCAGCCGGATGCGATATTAGTTTCAAGATCTCATAGCCCCGCTCTCCATTGCGGCTGCCTTGAACCAACGGATTATTTATTTGTGACCAACTGAATAACATTGATGGTTGCCTGCTTGAATGGTAACCTGGCAAGTTCTGGTTCACCAACCTCTCTTCCAGAACTCCAAGTCTCCGTGTGATTCCATCTTAAGCTCATGGCACCGAGCTGTCTCGTGTGCCAGTCCACGGCTAGAGTGGCCGAGAATATCAGCGCTACAGTGAGCCGCGTGGAGTCAAGAGCCCGGGATTAAACGAGTCCACCAGCGCGAACCCTACGAACATCAAGAACCGCGGGATCTTGCACATACATTCGAGCCCGGAGTCGATAGAAACTTGACATCGTGCAACGTAATCTGAAAGCGGATGGATCAGGTGATGCCGAAGAAGCCAAGGTAGGCTGTGAGACTGCCGAGGTTGGCGATAAAGTACGTCTGCCCAAAGCTTTCGAGATTGGAAATGAAGAAGAGGTTGTAGAAGAGCTCGACGGGGTTTACGTTGTGCCGCAAGAAGAGGCGGATATCGCCCGTATCTTCGTCAGCAGACGACGTTACAGGAGACTCTCTCCAGGCCAGGGGCGTGATCTTCTCTTCCTGAAAGTAATCAAGACCCCTGATGGGAGAATTTCCGTCAGTTGCGCATTGAGAGAGAGAGCATAGATACCAGTTTCCTGTTGGCAAAGGTTACGTAAAATGTCAAAGACGGTGAAAGAACATACCAGCTGACCGAAGATATGTCGGAGTTGACCCGACTGACCTGACTGCTCGGAAGCTTCGCCATGCGTATCGGCGATGGTTGACGGCGGTAGAAGCCTGGCAACAGTGTCTGACTATTGTCAGTGCTTGACTTGTGAGTTTATGGAAGATGTTCAAAGTTTTGGGAAATCAAAGTGTAATAGTTTGTAGTGAAGCAAGAGTGCTTAGAATGATCTGGAATCACTGATGGCATCGTCCTGGAGTACCACCTTAGCCCTGTGGCCTCCGAAGACCCGTGGCTTCCTTAAATTCTCAACCTCCGGTTGAAACTCTCATAAATTAGTCAACCCATTTTGAGAAGTTCTGTTTTATGGAGGGGGGCAAGAGCATATTAAATCCGGTGTTCGAGGTCAGTAGCGGCGATTGCAGAAGTTCTCAGATTGGCTGTTGGTAATGGCCTTGACATTGTCAGGTATTGATAGTATAAATGGAGGATGCTGAACTTTTCACAAATATACCCACCCACAATGGTCAAAAAAGTGACTTTAAAACGTTCTTACAGCTAAATCCTTGCTGCTTAAATGCTCTGTCTCTGTATGATGAAGCCCATTTTGGAACATGACATTAACGTCTCCGCAAAAGTTGTGCAGAGGTCACAGAAACAGTATCCCCAAAACACAAAACCAACAACTGAACACCGACCTGCTAGGAGGGTGAAGCTCTCACAGTCACCGGAGTGGCGATCGGCGCAAGAGTCAACCCGCTCAGCTTCTTTGAAAGTACGTCTTCTTGGCCATGTGCGTAAAGCGCCGCTTCCTTCTCGCGCAAAAGATTCAGCAGCAGCGTCTCGATTTTGACTGCCAGATCGAGGAAATCATTGGCTGCGTCCTTCAAGCTAAAGTCATACTCTTCGCGACGCTGCACCACCGTGGCACGCGTAAATATGAGATCGAGGTTTTCTCGGAGCATCCTGGCGAGCGGCGTTTCGACGGGCAGCCTTGCGGCTCTGGGTGCAGGCCTTTGGACAAAGTGGTAAGTGTCGGTGGCGAATTGATCAGTGTCGGCCGCCACTCGCTCGAGGGCAGCCTCGTTGATCCAGGCTACAGATTCGAGCCAGCCCCTTTCCTTGAGGCGAAGCATCTGGCGCAGAATAAGACTAGCATTGTTGCATTTCTCGCTTAGAGCACTGTTGAGCAAGACCTCGTAGCCCTGGTCGGTGGGAATGAGACGGCTGACGCACATGCTTACGTCAAACAGGGTCTCCGAGTAGAGCTCTTGATAATCTGATAAATATTTCAGCCTTCTGCGCCTAGTCATGTCTCTACCACTGCTCATTGGTGTGGGGAATCTGGTAGACGGTGTAACTGTAATATGAAGTCAGCATCTGGGGATGTGTGTCAAACTAAACATAGGATGATGGAAATATGTTCCTACCTGGATGCGAGGTGTATTCCTTGCAACGCAGCCTTAACTCGTCCATCCATATACTGTCTTCCCAGTCACTCCGATACATCCCGCAGGCTTCAGCACCAATCAGAATCAGAAGTTGCCTGAGATGACTGGCGTGAGAGTGATAGTTCATCGCGTGGCTTGGGTGAAACCCATTGACTTTGGGAACGGCGACAAACCCACGCTGTCCTTCCGGCCGAACCAACGCCCTGACTTGCCACTTCGGAACACGTCCGAATTGCTCCCCGATCCCGATATTCTCGAACTTGTAAGAATCGCCCTTGACAGTCTTCGCTCTTCCAAGAGGCATCATTATCTTGCCCGCGCAGAGCAGAACGTCTGGCCTCTTATCGCAGATAGTCGCAGTCGATGTGCGAAAGGCATTCTTCAGCCTCGTGTCGTCGACATCCCTTGGGTCTCCCGAAACATATGGGAGCAGATCGATGACGGCGACGTCCTTCCGAAAATCCAGGGTCCCGCGGGAGACCACAGTGAATATGTCTTCAAGGGCACGGAGCGTTTCGCAGTTGTCAATGACGGCACCGAGGCCCTCCTCGAACGGGTGGTTGTGCCGTGGCTGCTGCAGCATGACGACGATGCCGCCTTTTACAGGCGGGCCCGCTAGCTGTGCTGTGACTTGGATCTCGGCGCGTGGCAACCGCAACGACCGGCCCTCTTGCTCCAAACGGGAGACATGTGTGGAAGTATCTGTCGCGTATCTTGGGACAGGTTTGAGAAGTTTTCTAATACGGTGGTCGACGGCTATGTCGAGACATATCGCGGTTTGCGTATCTGACGCCATGACTGGTGTTCGTAGACTAGATCTTGGCGCTACAATAGTTCAACCCGCACACAAGGAAAGGCCAAAACTTGGATCGCCCTGTATTTTGTACTTGGCCCGCACTCTTCAACATTCCATTTCAAACAAAGCTAGCGGAATAGCATAGCCCCTCAAAAGACAGACTCAGGTCCTGCATGGCGTTTGTAGGAATGCATTGAAAACGTGTGGTCTGACAGTCTATCGGATAATTGGTTCATTGCTTCGCCATGTGATTTTGCTGGCAAGAAGAGGTGCAGCACCCTTGCATGCGGAAGTGTCAATATTGATTTTTTGCAACCTGTGATTCGCTGGCTAACCGGGCGGGATTATCATGGCCGTTCTCGTTCAAGCCACCAACTTGGCTTTCATTTTGTTATCCATGACTTTTGGAGGGCCATATCGCTAGGCTAGACTGGTTTCGGCCTCCCTGCCGAAAGCGCTCTCCACCAACTGGACGTTCAAAGGCAGTGTCTATCAACCGGTCCAACAGCGTTTTCGACTTTTCGCTTGGTAGGACTGATTATCTCGTGCACTTCATGAGAGCCCCAGCCGAGCAAGTTGCATCTAGCTTATGTGCAGTGATTCTACACCTTTACGATTCCCAATCCTTTTTATATTACAAACATAAGAATTACCATATGAGTGTGAATAAAACTCGCAATATGTAACAATAAACACGTTCTTACGACCCTCGCCGCCAAGCTGCCATTATCCAATTCTGCAGAAATTCCCATTTATCCGCAATCCTGCTTCATTGACAGCTTTGAAATTACCATCGAAGAAGAGCCCCTTGCAAGGTTTTGAATGTCTTCCCCAGTGATGTGTTGAAAAGATGAATATTGGAGACGGGACAGAATGGGGCAACATTCTACAGCGTGGAGGGTTTCGGTGTAGAACCTAAAAGAAATGGTATAAAATATCCTGCTGGAGACGATAAAAATTCTAAAAGAACTGACTAGAGAAACACTCCGAAGCCGCCAAAACTTGTGAGGTCCAAGCCTTACCCGTGCGTTAGAGTGGAGTAACCCACACAACATACTCGACTACGTGAGAACCGACGAGTCTGCTGTGTGGTCTGTGCCACTCTAGCGGACGAGTACCAATCAACGTATACTTTTGTAAAGCAGGCAACAACGTATTGTGTCTAGTAAGCTCCTATAGGCAAGGGATATTAGAAAACGATATGATAAACGACTTTAGAGATGGTCCTACGGCTTTGCAAGTGATAACGTAGGAAAATAATACGAGCTTGAGAATGGTTCTAGAACTACCTATCATAAGCTCATTTCGCTGATGTGTCATACTACCTCAACCTCCAATTTAGAAAGCCATCCGCATTGAGGGACTTCAATATCAAGTGGGAATGACGTTGCAGCACAGAAGACGAAGCCATTGTCAGAATGTTCTATGCCAGCTCTCCCAGCATAAAAGACGGGAATTTATTGTCTCTGTGAACTTACCAGAGAAATATCAATGTTTGAATTTGGCGCGAATGGCAGCCATACATCGAGGCAGAAATCAAATACTCCCATTTAAAGAATATAACTTATCTCACTGGCCTTGCACTTGCGTGTCGACCAGAACGTACTGCATGCATGGCAATGATGATGCTGTTTGGGGGCACTCCCGCTCGACACAAGCCTAGATTGATAAGGCATTAAACAGATAGAGATGTGATGAAGGATAGAAAGACACTCGGAGGGCTGTTGTCGACCAAGGCATAATAAAGTACGGCTTCTGGGGGCGGCGTTGGAGGGCCTTTGGCCGTGTCGCTAACTATCGTGGTAAAGTTGCAGTAGATCAGTAGCCGTTCTTCTGTAGCTAGGATAATGGTGGTTGAAGATACCCCTGCGATGTAAGTTTAGTGTGGTGAACGGCAAAACAATCATAAATAAGATCATAACTGAGTCGGACCAATGCATTTGCATTTTGAGCAAAGCCCTCTAGCTAAACGGTCACGGCGAGTAATTTCAAACGAGCATCAAACACAGCATCCAAACAATTGACCACAGAATCAAGCAGTTAGTCATTGGCTTGTGACAATACAAGCCGAGTTCAGGCCGACTCGATGAACGCGATGTTGTGGCAAGCACGATAGCCGTCCTTTCACATAATATGTATCGTCTCTCAGACGTTCATCTCTCGACTCATTATGGTGACTTGGCGACTTGGCGTGAGTTTGACCACTACAACACTAGTGCTTCAGAACCCTCTAAGCTCTTCACAAATACGCCACGTAGCGGGCCAAGCATCGCCCAGCCTCTGTGGAAGAAGATTTGAAAAGGGTAATTGTTTTGGGTGACGTGTTCCCACAACGGAGAAACGCGTCTACCCGCCACTCCTCGCCGCTAGGTTCCCGCAATAACACCGAAGGGATCAAAGGGATCTGCTTGAAGCGGAATTGAAGCAACAACAATTTTGCACCTCGATGACGTCCTGGAATTTCCATGCGGTGTGCCATGTCATCCATTCATCGCTGGTTGACAGAGGCTCAGATTCGACCCCATTTGCAACGCTACCCCCACTGTGGACAAGCTTTGGCCGGCACGCGGGCTTAACCACCCGAGCCCTGGTTAGCTCCTCTGCACCGGCGTTATTGGATCACAACTTCACAAGTGAGCGGTGCGAAAGAATACCTAGTTATTTGGTCCATGGGCGATCAGTGGAGCCGTTTTCGCGGCAATTAACCTTGAAAGGAAGGTCGGTAGATAGCTCGTGGCCGTGTACCCGCACTGCCGCGGCTTTTAGCACCAGAGTGCCGATCAGCCGGCGGGAGAGGGATTCACAGCTACCCGCGAAAACAAGAAACAAGCGAAGGCCAAGACGCTCTTTTTCGCACATAAAACATGCATTTTCAGATGTCCTTGAAACGCCAATAAACATTTTTGGCGAGTCAGAGGTTGCGCACTGTCCTATGCTGTTTCTCTCCACGAGATAGGGAATGTCGGCGCTGTGGAAGCTTCTGTTGCTTTTTCCTCGACAGTTAAAAGACATCAGCAGATTTTTGTGCGGAGAAAGCCTAACCGGGAAGATCAGCATCGGTGAGGCCATGTATTTCCGGGGTTACAGCGTGTATTTGTGATGGTTCGGTAGACCGGAGTTTAAGTGGAATACAATTCACTGACGCCATCACGCATCCAATGGGATTGTCGGTTTGCTGGCGTAAAAACCGTGAGAGCATTTGCGATAAGGTTGCCGAGTGCCGTCTCTTCTATCTTGACCGAATAACTAGCATGAACTTAGACCCACAGACAGCCGGTACCTAGTCTGGAACTTTTGGGTCCCCAAGCATAGGTAGTACGACCCTTCCTCCTTCTTCTCCTGGAAAGCAGCGGGTTGTCCGCATCGTGCTACGCGTCAGCGTTGGTGTCCCTTTTCGAGTTCTCGAGAGCGGTCTTCGTTTACGGTGTACTTCTTGGTACTTCTTCCTTTCTCCCCCTCAGTGTTCGCACTGGCCTCTCTCGCATCTCTATCCAACACCACACACACTACTACTACCTGGGTTGTTAAGAGACGGCAGAGAGTGTCCTATTCATGTATTCCACGTTGTTTTCTTTCCATTGGATGCCGCTGACGCTGAAGCTTCAGACATGGTCTCGAGAAGGAATCTGCTACTGTTCTATATCAAAACACTATATCTAAAACTCGACGTCCAGCCAAATGGTATTATGACTTCTCGATTTCTGCCGTCAGAAACACACAGACTCACACATTCCTTATTACTTTACAGGCTCCAGGGTGATAGAAGGAGTCATAAACTTGACAGTCTTTGTAGAAATTAAGACGAACGCGTTACAGAGCTAGAGCCATGGCATAAAAAAATCGCTGAGGGCGGTTTCCGTATGCGTTTAGGTTGAGGTTGTTGTTGTTGTTGTTGTAGATAAGTTTTGCTAAATGTGACAATTATATTTTCTGATGTTCTAACAAACCCCTCTAACCTCTCCCTAAATAATTCAAGTACTCGGCGAGGCTTTCAGCAGTCACATGTTTGCAGCAGGCGATATCATTCAATTGAGTGAATCTGAGGTAGTTACCATAAATCCAGATCAGAAGAGTCGACTGTTGTCCAGCCATCGGAGGTTTAAGGCTTTTGGATGACTCGACCGTGACGTGTTTCTTGCAACAAGAAACCTCTCAGGAAGCACGGTGGCAATCTCAGCCTGTGCTCCGTTTTCCTACTGTGCCCCCGTATCACTGTGTACCCGTCCCACCTCGCGAAGGGACGGCATCAGCTACATAACCCTGCGCCATGTAAGTGCCTGGTCCAAGTGCCGTCACAAATCAAAACCTTTAAAAGCTGCTTCTGGAACGCTCTTTGGGACATAGGTCGTCTACCTGCTCCTTCATTCCGTTCAGTTTAGCCAAAGATGAAGCTCCTCAACCTTGTCTGTGGGTTGCTCTGCGTCTCCTCTGCGGGTGCTTTCAAGCGAACCTCCAAGCTCAGACCTATATTTCCCAGGTCCGTGGTCGAGAGGTCTGTGGTCGAGAGGTCTGTGGATGACGAGCCGTTAACGCACCCGGAACCACCAAAGCCGCCAAAGCCAGCCTCTCGCTTTGTGAATGACAGGACCGACCGTTAGTTAACTGTGAAAGTCAATCCGTAGGACATTGAGCTAACCTCGCACCAGCTTTCGCTGTCAACGGCACTGGATTACCTGACGTCCCGTTTGACGTCGGCGAATCGTATGCTGGACTACTTCCTATTTCCGATGACCCCAATGAGACGCGACAGCTTTTCTTTTGGTTCTTCCCTTCAACAGCCGATGAAACACCTGAAGAGATTACCATTTGGTAAGACGGAAGTTCTCGCATCATCCGTGTCATTTTACTAAACCTAGAATAGGCTCAATGGCGGACCTGGCTGCTCCTCACTCTCCGGTTTCCTGACAGAGAATGGTGTCTTCACCTGGGAGGATGGCACGCTCGCCCCTACCCAGAATCCCTACGCATGGACAAACCTGACCAACATGCTGTGGGTTGAGCAGCCTGTTGGCGTTGGCTACTCCCAGGGCGTGCCCGATATCAGCAATGAAGTTGACCTTGCCGCTGAGTTCAAGGGCTTCTACAAGAATTTCGTCGACACTTTCCAGACAAATGACTGGAAGACCTATATTACAGGAGAGTCGTATGCCGGCTACTACGTCCCATACATTGCGGATGGTTTCATTTCGGCCAATGACACAGAATACTTTAACTTGGCGGGCATCGCAATTAATGACCCCCTCGTGGGTGACGAAACCCTCCAGATGCAAATCGTTGCCATGCCCTACGCCGAGTACTGGCAGAACCTTCTGAACCTGAACGACACGTTCATCAAACAGGTTCAGGAGCGTCACAAAGCATGCAACTACTCCTCTTACCTCGACACATACTTCAAGTTCCCGCCGCCGCAAGAGCCCTTCCCCCTCTTGCCCGACCCTTACGACTCCGAAACCTCGGAATGCGATATGTTTGACAACATCTTCGGGGCCGCTCGAGAAGTCAACCCCTGCTTCAACATCTACCACATCACCGACACCTGTCCGATACCATACGCTCACCTCGGAATAGTAAACCAAGGCGATTACTCTCCTCCCGGTACGCAAGTCTATTTCAACCGCACCGATGTCAAAAAGGCCTTACACGCCCCCCTCGATTCCAACTGGTTGCAATGCACCACCATCAATGTCTTTGGCAGGGGCAACGATAGCGACAGCAACAATGCGGGTGATGGGTCCCTCGACCCTGTTGGCGCCGGTGTTCTGCAGCGGGTCATTGAATATACCAACAACACCATAATTGGCTCCGGTGGTCTAGACATGCTTCTCAACACCAACGGCACCCTCCTTGCCATCCAGAACATGACCTGGAACGGCGCAAAGGGGCTGTCCGAATACCCCGCCAAGCCTCTTTACGCTCCGTATCATCCAGAGTACAACCAGGGCGCTATGGCGGGCGCCGGACTGCAGGGCGTGTGGACCTCCGAGCGCGGATTAACGTTCTATACTTCTCAACTTGCCGGCCACGAGTTACCTGGGTATACCCCCGGCGTCGCATACCGCATGCTTGAGATCCTACTCGGAAAGGTGAAGGATTTTGGCGCCATCGAGAACTTCACGACCCAGAAGGGTAATTTCACTGGTACAGGAACTATTTATTAGCAGGGTTACTCTTCTATTTGTAATCACATCCAGCGTTTACAAACTGAAGCAGAAATTGCTCGAGTCTTCGGACCCGTGTACGAGACGAATTGACGGCTTATATAAACCACTAGATGTTATTTTAATAAAACGAAGTCCCTATCGCATGTGAAGAACATCCGTTGTTGTGTCACCTTACGTAATCACTGTAAAGAGCAGAATAGCGTATCATTACAACCCAAGGCACAGCCAAAACAGCAACCCGTCAACAACACAGTAATGCCGTCTTTTGTTGTGACCTCATCGGCCGTTTCTTGAAGTGCAGCTTGGCGGGATAACATGTCACGTAACAAAACGATACCGTTAGTTACGTGGGCAGTAATAGTAGCTTATATATCGTGACATAACACCTCAATAGCAAATCCATTATCAAACAACCATGGCATGGAAAACAGGGTTCTACTTCGAACTGTTTTCGCGCAGGCAAATGCAGAACTCCGCCAGTTGATCTAGTATGGAAGTTCCCCCCGCCAAAAGAAATCACATCTACTTAACCCCCAACCATCGTGATTGTGGCCCCTCCCTGCTGGTCTTGGTAGCCCACTTGATTGCGTTGGTGGCGTTTAGTCCTGACCCACCTGTTACAAGCAGGTCAGGGCAACCGGCTGTACCACAAAACAAAAGCTTCGATAATCATGCGCCTGCATCATTATCCCCCTGCTCTCATGATAGGTAATTGCCTTCCTAAAAAGATGATGACGGGGCGTCATTCTATCGGAAAACTGCCGCTAACAACCCCACTGGGGTAGGTCGCCGCAGTACCACCAGGTGGGCGCATCGACGGATTCAGGTCGTTTGACGATGTCATGCCTCGGGTTACAGCCGCCTTCGGCCGAAAATCGGAACCGAATGGGTCGTGCATTTGCCTCGGTGAAGCAGGCTAGTTCAACAAAAACATAATGACAAGTATCTAAGAATCGCTTCGTGGATAAATTGTAATAATAACTCTCCGTTTATTGATTACCTCAATTCCGGCATCTTTGTGCGGCTGTGGGACGCAATACAGACACTATCTTCACACAAAGTCGTAACCGTCTTGCAGCCGTGAGCAAGCAAACATGTGTGACGAAACGCCCGCCAAGTACGGATACCTATGCAAGTAAAATAGGCCCCGTTCGCAATAACCATGCAGCTCCAGGAACACCCGCAGCGATAAGAACCCTTGTCAATCAATGTACCCGAAGTCCGCTACCACTTGATTCGATAGAACTCCCGGCCACCTCGGAGAGGCAGCCGCTTCTGAACATGCCGTGCGGCCGGCAACTTTGCCTCCCGAGCAGAACACAAACACAATGCCATTTTTCAAGCAATGTACGACCGAGAAATAAGATAAAGAGGGCAGAAGAGCCCCGTACGGCAATCCCGCGGATTGTTGTATGTTCAAAGTCTCGGTCGTTACCGACACCTGAAGACACCCCTTGATCCAGATAGTTCTTTTCGGCAGTCTCCGAGCCCTTCCCATTTTCAAAACCTGCTTCTATACGGTCAAGGAGTTTTCTTTACCCTATACAGACATCGTAATATGTTTTGAAGGCTACCTTGAGGAGAGCAACCCAGCAAATCGAACAACATACCAATGGAGACAGCATCAGACGGCAGGCCGAGTTCTGAAGAGCCGGTTACAGCTTGGTCTTCTCACGAACTTCCGAACCTGTTAAGAGGGTTGTCGACGGAAGAAATCATGGTTCTCGAAAAGGGGCTGATAAGAAAGCTCGATATGAGTATGTTGCCAACGATGATAATGATGTACATTATGAATTATCTCAATAGGTAAGCTCGCTCTTCCCATTCGAATGGTGGACTGCTTTACTTATTTATACAAGAAACGCGATCGGCGCAGCCAGGCTTGGTGGTTTGGAAAGCGACCTAGGGCTTGTCGGAACCCAATTCCAGGTAACTATACACGAGCCATCGAGTTTATTTACAGCAAACGAACTCACACAGCTTGGCCCTAGACCTGCGTTTCCATGCTTTTCGTAGGATACATCATGATGCAAGTCCCTTCGAACATGGTTTTAAATAAGTTGGGACGTCCTTCAATATACCTGGCTGGGTGCATGGGTGTCTGTGTTAGTCTGAATCTCTTTGTCTCAAACTTCTGAGTGTATTCGGCCTTGTCGATGCATTGGTCAAATACCGAGCCTTCATCACATGAGAACGTGTGATGCCATTCTTCTTATGGCGGAGACGCTCCTTCTTAGTTCCAAAATGTCTTTCTCTGGTGGTAGAGTACTTGACTGATGAAAATGGATGTCTCTAGGGAGTTTTATGTGCTTGCAGTGGCGCAGCGTACGGCCTCGGTGGATTATTGGCAACTCGCTTCTTACTAGGCCTTGTCCAAGCCGCTTTCTACCCAGGTAAGCCTAACCTTTGCTTCGAATATGCAGCTGCGATATGGCAGTTATTAATACTACTGGCAAACAGGTTGTGTAGCTACACTCAGCTCCTGGTATATTCGTAAGGAGCTTGGTGTCCGTGTTGGTTTGTTCTACACGGGTTCTATGCTCTCTGGTGCCTTCTCAGGCCTGATCGCCGCCGCCATCACGAAAGGCATGGATGGCACTGGGGGTCTTCTTGCCTGGCGCTGGGTATTCATCGTCGAGGGGGCGCTGACCGTGGTTATCGCCATCGGCGCTTACGCGATGCTTCCTGACTTTCCAGCAAACACCAAGTGGCTTACGAGTCAAGAGCAACAGCTGGCCGTGTGGCGCATGGAGATTGACGCCGCTGGCGAGAAAGATTGGACCAGTTCATCGTCCCAACCCCTCTTCGACGGGTTTAGGATGATCATCGTCGACCCCGTTAACTGGATCCTCGTGCTTATCGTCTATGGAACTGCGTCTTCCATCTCTATCAACAGCTTCTTTCCCACCATTGTTGGCAGCCTCGGAAAAGACCGCATCACGACCCTATTGCTCACCTCGCCTCCTTACCTGTTGGCATGCATCGTGTGTGCGGCGGTGTCATGGAATGCAGGTCGTACCAATGAAAGGTTCTGGCACACAGTCGGGCCCCTGACTTGCGCGCTTGTTGGGTTTATAGTCTCCGGAGCCGCAACGGACGTTACATCGCGATACCTAGGCGCCATGATTATGCTTCCGGGTATTTACACTGGCTTCAACATGTCGATGGTCTGGACGGCAAACACGATATACCGCCCAGCCGCCAAGCGTGCTGCTGCAGTGGCATTCAATAACGCAGTGTCTACCATGTCCAGCATCTACGGGTCATACTTGTACCCCAATGACGCGGCTCCTCGTTTCATCTTGGCGTTCAGTGTCAATGCCGGCATGGCTTTCATGGCAATCGTGGCTTCAACGGTACTTCGCTTTGTGTTAAAGAGAGAGAACCACAGGCTCGCTGTCCAGGAACAGGAGATGGATGCTAAAGGCCCGATGAGAATAGTTGGAAGAGGCTTTAGGTACATGGTTTAACTGTATAAACAGCAGCCTAGGTTTTTGCTCGTTCCAATCTACTTCACAGCCCATGCTCGTCCCGAATCTTTTCCGCAGCAATCTGACCGATGACGTATGCAACAATCTGAGGATCTACGAGCACAAGTCAGCATTACCAATCATTTAGCACGATACGGATGGTTTCTGAGGATATTTTCATTGGAAGAATGCTCACGGCCACTGCTTAAATATTAGCATTCAATCAGACTTTGAGGAGAGGCATAGAACGACAGAGAACATACCTGGGTAGAGTTGAAGGTACACTTAAGTCCGCGACTCTGAGGCCTTTTAGGCCATGAACCTTCAAGTCGCCATTCACACAGCTCCCATCTCCTTCGTCTTTGCCCATCTTCAAACTACACGCAGGGTGGAACAGACCAGCTACATTCTCCTCAATGAAGTCCTAGCTCAACGGTCAATACTCAGACAAGATATATTATCATGTAAGGAAAATAATCCAACTTACAACAATGTCTTCATCGCTATCAGACTTGGGAGCGAATATAGGTCTGACAAAATGAGTCTTCATTTCAGGCGTCTTCATCAGATTCAACCCCTCTCTCAAAGCTTCCCGCAAATTGACAAGGTCGTAAGGGTTGCTAAGATATCCCGGATCGACGAGTGCTGCATCCTTTGGATCCGACGACGACAGCCTAATCTGCCCTTGTGAAACAGAGTTCATATTGGCCACGAAAACTGAGAAGAAGCCATCATCTGGCTTCTCAAATACGTGATTAGGGGGGATTAATGGTCCGATCTGGATTATCACACATGAGCAAGCAGCCTGTTCACTTGCGATTTATAATCATGGTGCACTTACAACAATCTCGTAGCTGGGCACTCTAGGGTGCAGCAGGAAATTTTGGACCTCGTTGGAAAGATGTTGAAACTCCGGGGATTTGTACGCTCGAAGGTTCTTAAGAAAGGCGTGGGGAACAGAGGAGAAATGACTCAGTAGCGGCCCATTTCCAGATTCCGCAAGTTGTTTAATGGCCTCCCGATATTTCGCCGGGTCAACAAGTTCCATTCGATCGGTGAACCCAGGCCTCATTTGAAAACAAGTCACAATCATGGGATGATCCGTGAACGACTTTCCAACTCCGTCGAGATCCTTGACGACCTTAATGCCAAGCGCTTCGAGGTCTGATCGTGGACCAATGCCCGAGAGTAGCATAAGTCGAGGGCTGTCCAGGGCACCAGCAGACAGAATGACCTCCTTTTTTGCGGTGACTAGTGAGAAAAGTTAGGAAAGTGTCCAATTGCAACGGTGTAAATACTCACTCATAGATCCATCTTCTCTGAGAACTCCCACTGCTCGGTCGCCTTGAAAGACAATCTTGACGACACGACTCTCCGTGAAAACAGTCAAGTTGTCGGGTCGGTCCTTAACCAGAAATGCAGATGCACCAGTAGTGCGTACACCATTCAGACTTGTTGTGGGATTCAAAGAGAAGCCAATAGGATCGCCATCATTGGGATCAAGGTTTCGTTTGTGCTATGAGGACAGGTCAGCACCGCGGCATCCATTCGACTACCGTGTCGACTATAGACTCACGCCCAGTTCAGACCCTGCATTGATGAAAGATCTTGTCTCCTTTTCCACGTGGCCGATGGAAACATCGATTGGGCTGTATCCTGTGAGTTGTTTCACTAGCTTTATCAGATGGTTATAGCACTCACCCTGAAAATCCATGGTTCTTGGGGTCAGGCTTAACATACTCCTCCCAATCGGCAGAAAGACCATCAAGGTGTAGATTTTCCAGCTGTCAGAAGTCAGGGGCACTCATCTCAATAATTAGAATAAGTCAAGTAGGAAAACCGACCTGCTTCACTCGCTCTAACACAGACCCAAACGCCCAGGAGTCATCACCTGCAAGTGCCGCCCACTTGTCAAATTCCTCTTTGGCTCCTAGAGACCAAACTTGGAAGTTCGTTGCACTCGAGCCACCTAGACCCTTACCTCGAGGCTGAGGCACCTCCCTATTCCTCGCATGTTTTTGAGGTGTCGAGACATAGCCATAGTCAAGGCCAGGTTGGGCGATGACGCTGAATCGCTCTGCGGTCCTTCTGTACTCTGGCTTGTTGATATCGCTGCCACCTTCCAAGAGCACAACTTTGGGCTTTGTTTCTGTGTTTGCAAGACGTGACGCAAGAAGACACCCCGCCGTGCCGCCTAACCATAAAATGTCAGTAAGCTTTTCGTTGAGAGAGTTTTCAACTCTCGAGACAACAAACGCCACCCTCAACCATGTGAGGCTTATAACTTACCACCAACGACGACAAAATCAAATTCTAGAGCCATTTTTCAAAGCTTGGATAATACCCTGATATGTTCAGAGTGTAGGCGCTGCCTTTCTGTGTCATTTAACGTGTCCTTAGTGATACTACTTATTTGCCTCGAGCTCCAAGACGCTGTCAGCATCTGGCAATTGGGGATCTACATCCAAATGCACATGACAATCAAGGCCAAGGCATATACTGGCGGGTCGTCTTTCATAGCAGTTAAGCCATCGGTGTTTCCGTACAATAACACGGCCAATGTCAGCCGAAGAGGGGCTCGATGTGTTTCGTGCAACCCTACGGATACTCCGTATTAACTCCCCCACCCTATATCCGAGCCACCCCCGCATCCGAGCCACCCAAAAATGCCGTATTTCCCCTCCTTCATTAACACCACTACTTTTTTTAAACCATCACAACAATTACTATTTATAACTAAACAACGCTATTTTTTTAGGATACCTTCTTTAACCTATTATAAAGTAACATTCTAAAGATGAGCTCTAATAGGCCCTTCTAGAGGTGCAGTCTAGAAAAGGTATACAGGCTGTTGCTTAAGTATAGGGTATACTATATTAAACACTTTAATATTAATACTATAGTAGGTAAAGTAGGAATACTGCCTTTAAAGATAAGCAGCACTTATCTTAGGCCTAGGAGGATAATCTAGCTGCTTATATTACCCTTTAATAGTCCTTTAGTAGATATATTAACTATTAATAAGTAAAAGATCTAGTAAAGCGTATAATAGGTAATAGGTATCTTCTTATAAGGAGGAAATAGATAGCCTAATTTATATAGTAAAATCTATCTATTAGAACCCTTTAATCTAGAGTAATTAATACTTAGTAATAGATAGCTTATCCCCTAAAGTTATTAAGGATTTTTTTTATTATCTAACTAATATCCTTACTATTTAAGGAATCTATTTATCTAACTAATAAAATATAAATAAGACTAGTATTATAAAGAGTAAAAAAGGTAATAGGCTAGTGCTAGGCTTTAAGGTATTATAATATATTTAGAAATAGCAGCTAGGATCTTAAGTATAAGTATTTATTATTAAGTATATATTTACTACTAGTAGCTTTTTACCTCCCTTAGTTATATATAAAAGTAAACTACTTTAGGCCTAGTAGTTCTTATTTAACCTTAATATATATAAGCTATAGTAATTTATAGTAACTAATAATAACTAAATAACTAATAATACTACCCTTAAATAGCTAAAAGAGGTTTTTATCTTATATACTAAGCCTACCTAGCTAGAGGAGGCTAGACTACTAGTTCTTAATAAGTATTATAGCTATATAACTATTAATTTTATATAGTAATACTAGTTAACACAGCCTTCCTGGCAGCCGTTGCGGTTCTGACAGGATGAAGCTAGGCTGCAGTAGTGTCGTGAAGTGACGCAGTGTGAAGGCAAAGCGTAACAGCAGAGCAGTAAAGCAAGACAAACAATAACAAGGAGCTGAACAAATGACACAGGACAAGATAGGTAACAGATAGTAGGTGTATTCATGGTTGACCCTCCTTTTGTGAAGGGTCACCTACTGAAGGGATATATACCTAGGGCACACGTGACGTATCACGTATGTGTTAGGTATCTAGTCCCTGCTATCTATCTGTCTCCTAACTACAGGCACTTGCCACCTTGTCCTGTGACACTAGTAGTATAATATATATCTACTATTTTTATTACTATACGTCTTTATTATCTTTTAGCCTCTAGATATAGCTATCTTTAGCCTATTAAAGTAGGCTTATTATAAAGAGGTTAGATATTTAGATAACTAGGTTATAGATTTAACTATTACTAGTAAAAAAGTATTTTTAAAGTGTTATTTTAAGGCCTATAAGGTATCTATTATATCTATTAATATTAGTAGTAGCTAGAGGTTATCTAGATTATAGTTTATATATATAAGACGCCTTTTATTTAACTTAATAGTAACTAAGGCCTATTAGATTATCTAGGCTAGCTAATAGATAAGTTAGCCTAGTAGCTAGTAGTAGGATAAAGCTAAATCTATTATTCTATAGTTAACGCCTTATTAATCTACTAATCTATAGTATTAATTACACTAGTTAACCTAGCTAGGTAAGGATAAGTTAGATACCTATACTATTTATTACCTATCTAGAAAGGTATAAAAGGGATATAATAAGCAGGTATCTAGAGCAGCCCTTCTAGAAAGGCAGGTTAACTTATTACAGGCCTACTTAGATAATATATAGTTACGTAAGAGGAAAAAGGTCTGCCTATCTCCTGATAGCACCTTTACTACTATAGAGGATATAATCTAGGCCTAAAGTCTAGATCCTGGCAATATAGATAGTCCGGATGAATCCGGGGCATCCGAATTACCCAGCGAGGCCGAAAGTTGCATATAGGTGGGCGGCAGAGATAGTGAAATAAGTGGTGATAGTGGTGGTGATGGTGGTGGTGATGGTGGCTCGGATGCGGGGTGGCTCGGATATAGGGTGGGGGAGTTACTCAAGACACGTCAGTGCTCAAGTACCTACGGCAATTGAAATCGGCGTGATTTGACCCTTTTTCGCACGTTTAGCGCCTTAGAAAATGGTAAGGTAGCTGAAAGATCAAGGTTCAAGGGCAGGAAATTCTTCAAGTGGCATGATGTGCCTCGAAATGATAAGCGCTAATGCTCTGGGCTGCAGGAGACTAGTCATCTGTGACGAATCATAGTAACAATCCGTACGACTAGTTGTTCGGATAGCCTATTTTTCAATGGAAGCATGTCTAACTGACCCACAGGCAATGGCGGAATGGCGCCAAGATGCCGGGATAGGCTATTGTTTGCCAGGCTGACGGTCAAAGGCCAAACGTCTAAAGCGCCAATCCAGATGCGTGTCTTTGTGATCAGACACGATATCGCGATACCCCCAGCAATGAATTCATTTGTGTCTCTTGCCGCTCTCTGAATCCTGAGCGCCTTCGCTGTCTTTGGTTGCGTACGTGGGTGAGTTTCTTCCATGAAGAGGTTTCTTGTGAATCCTTCCCTGCAACAATTCTTGTCATCGGTCCAGAACTCGCGCTACATTTGATGAATTACGCCGCCATGCAGCCAGGCGTCAATGCCGAGGGCAGTGCCGGCTGGGGTACTGTCTCTCAAATGCAGCATGTCGATCATCTGCAAATCACCATTAGCGGCAGAGGAATTCGAGGTCTACGCATTATAAAGGCGTCTGACATCACTAATTATAGAGCCAGTAGTTAACATCGAAGGCATCCTCAAAGTTGAAGCTGCACGCCTAGTAAATTTAGAAAGGTGATTTTGGTGCCGATGACAAAGCTACAAACGTCTGCGAATATGAACATGGTGAGCGGCCAGTTGGTCTTACCGACGACTTTGAGTTTGATAATCCGGGTGATTCGAGTCAACCTGTCACAAGATTTGTATAATCGCACTATTGATGCTACTAACATGATCTGTCTACAAAGATCAGTCAGGGAAGTTTTATACCTTCAGATGAAACCAAAAAAGCTTCATGAATGTCTAGTAACTATGTGTGACTATTGATTCATGTTCCAGATATTGTACACAGACTCATTGGGAATGCTTTTACGTTGTTCTTCCACCTTAAGTTATGGCTTTGGTATCTCAGAAGGTCTTGGTAGGCGCATCTCCATTCGCATCACCAGTCCCGTACCTCTTGACCTTGTTCTTGCTGGCATCCTTATCTGCGATGAACACTTCGACCTCCTTGCTGTGCATGTGTTTGGCAACATTGTCGGCTTGCCATTTCTTGAATGAGAACCCCACTCCTCTTAGAAGTGTCAGCGTCGATATGACAAAGGTAAAGATGAGGGGGTAATATCCTATATCTTACTCGTGACTGTAATCCTTATCATTCGCTTGGTCCTTGTGGTACTTAATCTGGATAAAGTCGCTGTCGACAGTGTCGGGATCCAAACTCAGGCTAACGAGAGCATTGATTGTCGCCGTTTTCGGGATCAGTTTGAATGTCCAGCTCTGCTCGTTTTTGAACTGGATCAGATCGCGATCATTCTTAACAATTTCATAACCCTCGTTTTTGCTGGCGCTGAAAAGCTTAGGCAAGGCAAACCACTGCCCAGCCATCTTATATCGGTCGTTGGCGTAGACGAACTGGTCGTCATACACGCAGTCTGGCGTATAACGCTTCACGCGGTCAATGGTGGGTTCCATAGAGTAAAGGGCCACAATGTCTTCAATCAAGGCCTGACGAGCAGGCGAGAGAGGAATTGACTTGGAGGGATCCGGATGGTAGTCCTCCGAAGTTGAAGTTTGACGGACTTCAAATTCTTCGCCTGGCGTGGCAGAGGTCTTGCCGGGGAAGTTGGCATAAGCAGAGTCTGCAGCCATTTTGAGACTATTACGAGAAGCGGTGAGAGTGTCGTCGTGTATCAGAAGGCGTGACAACTAGGCGGAAGAAATAATACTTGAAAAAGAGGGGGATGCAAGTAACATAATAAGAATTAGATTCTGATCAACTCGAATGGATCCATAACACATCATTTGCGAATATACACAGACCCCAAGCAGTCATGACGCAGTGCATTTTTGACTAAAATAGTTCAGGCGTTTAGAGCAATCACCACCACGTGAATTTTCGTCCCTCGACTTGGGATACACCGTTATTATGTATTGCTGACGTCAGTCAAAGAGCATGAATGCGTCTGAAACAAGATAAACACCAACAAAGCGCAAGGGTATCGTCTCTAAGACTCTGTGCAAGTCACCATACCAGTACCATCACAAAGATAAGTTTCATGGTAATATAGCGCTCAATTCCAAGTAAACCTCATCATAGTCTAGGGCTGAATCCGAGATTTTTCAAGTCCAGCACTTCTCCAGCCCTCCAGCTCACATTCTGTCCAGCATCGCTTCCTTCCTTCCAACTCCATCGAGGTAGTTCTTGTGATCCCTTTTCTATAAGGTCCTTAATCCATTCTCCAACCACAGGCAGCATTTTGAACCCATGGCCCGAGTCACCAGTTGCAACAAACAAGCCCTTCCTACCTGGCACAGCATCAATGACATAATCCGAGTCCGCGGAGTCAGCACACCAGCAGATATGCTGATCAACAAAAGGCCTGTCTGCCAGACTGGGAAGTGTTTCTTGTAAGAGTTTGCGTACTCTCTGCCGATCTGCCTCCGGAACAAAGTCGTTGTTCTTTGGCGGAAGAGATAGGCCGGTGGCTGTTGAATAGTTGGTGTACCCTCCACCGCTTGGGGACAGCTTCAGTATTCCAGTCCCAGGTTCGGGTTCGAAAAAGAAACCCAGGTCCCGAGCATATGTGACGGGAATTCCTTTCAGTTGCTCTGCTTCTTCTGGTCGAAGTTGGATGTGCAGAACGCTCCAAGCTTTCGCCGTGATTTGTCGCTTAACAGAGGGGAGCACCTTTCCGAGCGAGGCACCCAGTGTCAAGATTGTTGCTATTGCCTTGTATTCTTTTCCAGAGACCGTGCGAGCACCCACACATTGATCGTTGTCGTACACAAGACTAGAGACCTCTTCTCCTGTATGAATATTGACCCCTCGATCTTTCACGTACTCGTAGAGAGCCTTGAGTGCGTTTGAGGCATGCGCATACCCCGCGAAGGAATTATAATACCCTTCCCAACCTTCCATGGGCCCGTCTAATGCAGGGGCAGCCTGGGCAATATCATCTCTGCTCTTTACCGGTACGATTCTGCCCACCCACGCCGGGTGTGCTCTGATACTTTCAAGGGACTTCTGGAGAGTCCGCTTGGTCTTCGCAGGCGCTGCTGCGGAGTTGGCTAGCAAGTACCCGGTCTGGCGATAGTGTGGTGAGAAAACCGGGTTGTTGTTCCATTCCGCCATGGCTTGTAAAGCAAGCTCGGTGTAAAACGGGTCCTCATACTCGGCGCGAACGATTTTATTCACATCATTGCCTGCCGAAAGTGTCGACGGAACTGACGTGCCTTGTTCGAGGATAGTAACGGATGTGTACCCAGCTTTGACGAGATGGTACGCCGTTGAAAGCCCGAAGGTGCCGCCGCCTACAACCAGTATCGGGTCATGGTAAGTCAACATGATGACAGAATTCTGCGACGTCTCCTTTGGTACTTTGGGCAGTTGGTCAATAGCATGAATTAGTTCAATATTGGCCGAGCGGGTGTTGTCAGTTTTGAGTTGTGTAAAGACTCCGAAGTCGGACATTCGAGCCTTCGGGCGCTTTGCATATCGGCCTCCCCACCCGGATACCAACAAGCTAATCAAGATAAAAATAGGATTTCGGCGGCGGGGAAGCTCGGCCGCGGCCCTTGCCCCGCGCGACTTTGCCGGCACTTCCAAACGATACCCCCAAACTACATTCAACACCTCAACAGCCCCTTCCGCCACGCCGGATGTCGGTTAAATAGCTGAGTTGTGGCCACGCATAACTCGGGCACGTGATTAGGTACTTAGTGGCCACCGAGTCCATGACATTTTCTCGTTACAGATTCTCTGTATCTCTTTCGACGAATTTCCGGATCAGCATGTCGTATGCACCCAGTTTACTTATTGCTGTTATCATTGACGTCCCTAAATGATCCGATGATACTTAAATTGAATGTAATTGACGTGTAGCTTTGAGCAGTCTAGTGGCGGGTATTGATAGTTGCTGGTTTAATTAAAAATTGTTTTCTTGGTCTATTTGTTAGCAGGGGCTTGTATATTCCTCACCAGCAATGAGGTGACATCTACTACCATTCACCTTATATCAACTGGTTTTGAATGTTGAAAAAAAAAGAAATTGGGGGGGGGGGGGGGTGTTAGGGTTAAAGTAGCAGGACTGAGCAAGAGTTTCCGAAAGAGATCCATCGAGGTAGAGGCAGAAAGCCCATTCCCGAAGTACCCTTACTTGACAATCATATGATCTAAAAAGTTTCAACAACAAGACTGACATAGGAATATCCATCCCTGCCAGAATTCAAGAAGGATGCGTAGAAATAAATGATACTAGGAGGGTAGAGTTTCCAATCTGAACATCAGCACAGACAAGCTCTTTGATGCCCGGCTTACTCCCACCGCTGCAGAAGCCCACCAATATTCCCAAATTCTTTTTTCAGAACCTCTGCATGCCTCTCGCTTCTCGGTATCAAGCGCACGCTATAATTCTTCGGTGTATGCAGAAATCCTTCTTCATATGCATCATAGCTCGTGTCCAACTCTATAGTCTTCCCATCTGCTCCCACACCGGGCTCAATCCTGAATGCCCACAGAATTTGAGCTATGATGCGCCACTGTGTTCTCTCAGCCAAGTGTAAACCCACACAGATCCGCCGCCCAGCCCCGTAAGAGTAGTGGTCACGGTCCTTATATTTCGAAGCTGCGGCGAGTTCAGGCGCCAGCTTGCCTGCCCGATTCATGAATTGGTCTGGGTTATAAGCAGAAGGATTTGAGGACGAGTCGCTGCTGTGGTTAAGCGCGTACGCTGGTACCATGATGGTGCTGCCAGCTGGGATAAGCATGCCTTCGAACCAATAGTCTTGCTTCGCGCAATGAGGAATACCCCCAGGGATGCTAAATGGTAAAATAATGAGCATGAGATAAGAGCGTTGGAATATAAACCGCTTACACTGGTCTGATTCGTAGCCCCTCTTTGACGATGCAATTTATATACGGCAAGTCATTGAAGTCAGCCCACTTGGGAGGTCTCTCAGTCCCACACACACGATCAAGTTCAACTTGTGCCTTTTCTTGGAATTCAGGATGCTTCGCAAGGAAAAGAATTGACGTGAGCGTTGCAGTAGCTGTTGTATCAGAGGCACCCATGTGGAGGCCTCCGAGGAAGTTGTTCAGTTCCGTGTAGCTCAACGGAACATCGCACTTGATTTCCTCCTCTAAAAGCTTGTCGAGAAGGGAATCGCGCTTGTCGCCGTTTTTGCGGCGCATCTCTACGCGATCGCGAGCTTCGTTCCAGATATCAGTCATGGTAACATAAAACTCCTTGCCGCGTTGCTTCGGTTTGTTCCAGCGATCAGGGATCAGATTGAGGATCGGAAATTGATCGACTGGTAGGTAAGTACCTGGCTCAATAGCTTTCGATATCTGTTACGGAGTCAGTTTCTGGCAGGTGACCAGGTAGAGAACGCGGGTGGGAATACAGCTTCCATAGCTATGTACACCGCCTAGCATTGTTAGTCATGCTAGTCAAGTTAACTAATTGCAAGCGAGTACGACGCACATATGCCCAGAAGCTCCCCCAGTCAGGTGCCAGGTGTCCATAGATCGTGATGCTTGCGACAGACGCCGTAGTTCGTTTTATGTATTCTTGAAACTTTTCAGGCTTTTCCAGCAAGTCGGACATGAGCCGTGCAACTCTACATCACATTAGCACGTGTGGGCCTGATTCCAAACCAAGCTTTTGAGCGGTATTATAACGTACTCAGCTTCCTGTACAGGTTTCATATCCGAGTCTAGCCTCTTTGGAGAGAAATATGAAGAAGATATTTTTCGCTCTGCCCTCCATTTAGGGCTTTCGTGCATCAGAGCTATGTTCTCTTCCCGCGCTGCGACGAGCATCTGCTGATCGGTTGGTCTGTCGTTATACCAGGCACCCTTCTGACTCAAAAGCTCGTGGACGGCGCGTCTGTCATTCAACACGATCATGGTGCTTCGCCCAATTTTGAGTGAATAAACGGAGCCGTACTGATCGCTCCATTCCTTCAGCCTAGAGCACGTAAGTGCCGGTTCCCCAGTTTGAATTTCAAGACTTACTTGGAGAAAACCCCCCTTTTCGGAATCATGTGTGCATTTCCCAGGATGGGGACCGTGGGTGGGCCAGGTGGGAGATGTTTCTCTCTGCTGCCAAATGTGAAGACCTTGTATGCTAGGATGATGGTAGGGATGATCCAGATAATGGAAGAATAAGCGGCCCCAAAGGGCAGTCCAGTCAGTGAAAGCATTCTCAGCTCAGGTATCTGAATCGTAATGACAATAACTACGTAGAAGAGTTTTGCACGTGCGAATCTCTTTGAGCTTTCAGTAGAACAACAAGTACAAGAAATTCGTCTGGGTCACTCGCAATATATCAACAAACCGCTCAGTGACTTATGGAAACTCTGAAGTCAACCACTAATCTCCCCTTTACCCACATGACTTCGGACTGTTTGCACATCACTGTAAATAGCCCAACGATCTTTGCTCTATCTAGCAGGTCCATATGAATATGAACTAACGCCTTTACGGAGTGCGGGGTATAGGCGACACCCCCGCTGCACCATCTCGTCCCGAGCATGGCCTTGGGTTTATGGTTGGCTCACGAGCTGCGTAACTGTGCGATGCTGACTACATGCTGTACCTGTTCATCCTCGACATAGTTACACAGATATCCTGGCACAAAATGATTCGCTAGAGTTTGAAACGTACAAGCAGACTACAAGCGGGCCGTCCGGGATCTGCACGGTTTGCTTCGTAAAGAGCCACATAGCCGTTGCCAAGTGTGCTAAGCGATCGGGTAAAGGGCGTATATGAGATATATTAATAAGAGATACCTTCATCAGGCTACCGTGAGCATATGATTCGTGAGTTGACCCGACATTCGGGGGGCCGATCGCACAGAATTCTGTGCCGAGCCAGTGGCATAGATTCAAGTAACATAACACGAGGGCTGTAGCCGCCATCCTTCCGACGAGTGGCGTTGAAAACCTAGAGGTGTGTTGTGATAAAGTCAATTACGCCGTAATTACGCAATGGCAATTATAAGCCCACCTTTATCGTCACATATAACCAGAAGTAAGCCCCTACCAAGTTATTCAAGCCACTCCAAGTCGACTTCTCTTGCCGGTGAAGTTCCTATGTCCTTCACCTATAAAAGCGATTGGTAACGAACATTTACTGACACAAGACAGTCAAAGTTGTTTGTTTGACTCTTGTTTGTTTCTAACTCTGAGGTTTGGCGCAACTTGGCCGCTTATGTATACGCTTCTAAGGTAGGAGTCGGGCGACATGCCAAGCTAGATGCCTAATGATCCAATGCCCTATCTGGTAAACGATCTACAGACTTCGTCTCTTTCAGGAAAAGGCTTGTATTAAACGTGTACAATCCATTGGGCTAACTCCAGTTGCCAAGATGACTTGGCAAAGTGGTGGCTGAAGCATCAGTTCAGCTTTCAATGATCGCGACTCGGCACGAAGCATTACCTCCGGGATCATGCACTCCTGTGGCATGCTGTTAGATGAAAGCATCCGATAAAACATTGTTAGGAGCCTCATCGGCCGAGCCATTCGAACTCTTCTGTCATATTAACCTGGTATGAACATACTGCCCCGGCAGTGTGCCGCGATTCAGCAGTGATTACTTCCAAAATTGAGGAAACCCAATTGTTCCTTTCTCTCTCTCCCTTTCTCTCTCTCCCTTCCTAGGAAGCTCCGGGAACGATAGCACGCCCAGCAGCGTTACTCGAGATAAATCCTCAACGGCCAGCACCGGTCTGGGATATTCGTTATCGGAATATGTCTTATCAGATTTACACTGGTGTTTGGACTGACTGGAGCCTTGGAAGTTTCAGCGGCGCAACAATCACGCTATCTGCCCGCGACGGCGCTCTCCTTCTTGCTTTCATTGCAATATTCGTCACGATAGTTTCTACGAGACTTTGGCGTGTCATCACCTTCATTTGCCACCAGATACTCTCATGCGATGGCAAACATGACGGGCTGCACTATCAGCGGCAGTTCATCCTCCGGAACATCCCCGCCCCTATAGCCGCCACATGGCTGTTTTCTCAACAGGCATGGCACTGGCGAGGACACGCCAGACGCCCAATCCTCAGAACGATCCCTTGGGCGGTTTTCGGCTTTCTTTATGCTTGTCTTCTTGGACTTTCTGCCATATTCTCCTCCAATATATCTGATAGTGCTACCAAATACCGACTACTGGCCCCTACGGCATGCGGAATATTCGTGCCCCAAGACCGAGACGCATTCCAACAAAAGAGCGCCTACGATAACACCCTCGCTTCAGTTTACGCTCGGCAGTGCTATGGAGATTCGTCGCCTGTATCGTGCGGCAACCTACCCGTCCCGTCAATCCGTTGGACTAACGAGTCCGTTGAGTGCCCATTCGCAGAAGCTGTGTGCATGGGAAGCAGATCTTTCGGAATGAAGACAGAGTTGATCGACTCCCATAAACATCTAGGTATCAATCAGCCTCTATACAATCGAGTTTATTATCGGCGAGAGACGGAGTGCTCTCCTCTCATCACCCAACGCGGGTTTTCGAGGTTCGTGAACGGAAGCGAGACGCAGGAGTTCGGCTGGGACGACAATGTCCTTATCAAATACTTTTACGGAAATGTGAACTTCAACAATTACACCTATATCTACAACACGTATGGGGAAAGCATGAAAAGCGGGTATTCCACCTGGTCCATCCACGCCCTAGCCGGTAATAATGGCACGATCTGGCAACCGGCAGAGGCTTTGTTCCTCGACCACAGAGACGTCACATTATTACTCATTGCGCCTAACTCGGTCATCCACATCGAGCAAAACGACGACGCCGTTTTTGGAGCCAGTATTCCAATCGAGTTAAGCGACGGCGCCACAGTCTACAGGCCCGATCGATACGTCAGTCCCATCGCCTGCGCAGACAGGCATCGGATCTGCAACCCCAATAACGGCATCTGCACCACGCCTCAAGGCGGCACGGAAACTGTGCGAAACGCCAGAGGCAAAGATATTGACCTCAACCCGGTTCAGCTGGCGACTGTAGACCGCATGGGGTTACACTTCGCGGCTTCGACATTTCAGCACCTGATCTGGACGCGCACGCAAAGCTTCCTAAAGGCACAGGAGCTCGTTGCTGACCTTACGCAGTTACCCCTGCCATCGAACCAGTGGCAGATCGAAATGGCATCACTGTTTGCCGACAACCTATCCAAAATGCAGCATTATATGCTTGAGTACGTTACGGGCCCATCTTTGGTGGTAGAAGGCACCATCGAAAGAACCTGGGACTCTGCCGGGTCTTCGTCCAGAGCCCAAGAAGACTATCGTGCTGCACAAGAGGATATGTGCCACAGGCAGAAGATCAAGAGCTCGCAAGGGACGATCAACTTCAGCGTCGTGGGGCTTTCCCTGCTTTTGGGCCTGGGCTCCCTCTTTATCGGCTTCTCGTACCTACTGGAGTCTATCACGCAGGTCTTGCAGCGGATAACAGGGCTCGGGGTACGAAAAGCGAAGAGGTGGGAGCGCGACGAGAACTTGCAGGTGATGCGGATGTTGTTTGAGCTGAACGGCGCAGGGACATGGAAAGGTTCAACGGATTGCTTTCCCACGACTGAATCGAAAGACGCATTTGAGTACGATTGCGGCCTTCGGGGTCGGGGTCCTCAGTACTCAGCCATAGTTCATGAGCACAATGGGAAGAGCTAGACTGCCACGGACCATACCAACTTGTAAGCGATTTCATCTTGCAGTAGCGATACCAATTCAGTATTGGAAAGGAGGGGGATTGGTCTGGCGCTCGTGCGATGGAATCATCTCTTCCGACACCATGCAGTGAATTGAAGTTAAAGTACTTGTTGAGCATCGGAATATATGCCGCGTCTCAGTTCCTTTCGACAGATTACGTCGACGCTTGACTCTGGACAGCGTCACTTCACTCGGAATAGCGACGGTTCGAGAACAATTCGTCATCGACGTTCACCTTCTTTCGCGGATGGTCCCCTGGCGAAATGTCGGATGCTGCCGACGGTCACAAAGAGTGGCTTCAGTTGCGCAATTCAGAACGGCAACGATATTATCCCGGGTGGTGAAACATGGCAAGATGAAATGTTCTAGAGACACTCTGCCTGGAGTTCTTCAGCCTGCTCAACGAAACCAGCCCGAAGCCGTCGATCTCGCACCGGATCAGTCGCCATGTCAACCCGGCCGCTGCACCAGGCCTAGCTGCCCACCCGGCCCGACAGCTTCCAGCCGACGATCGACATCCCGTCCTTCTTCGAGGCCGAGGAGCCAGGTTCGCTCGTAAATGCCTCCAAGACGTTTGTCTTGCGGGACCGCGGCGCCGGTATGGAGAACATCACGTGAGGGGCGTCCAGCTCAGCCAGCTGTCCGGGGCCGGTGTGGATGAGGTTGTCCCCCTCGACCACATCCGGAATCTGGACCTTTCGGCTGCCGCGTGCGGTGGGAAAAAGGGGAACGGTCAGGTTCTTGTGACCAGAGGGGGGGGGGGCGGCGCCACAACGAGGTGGCTTGGCCACGTGGACAAGAGAGCAGTTTCCATCCCGGAAAAACGCGCGCGCGCGCGTGAATGAACATTAGATCTTTGTCAATTGTCTAACTGGGGCTTTGATGATCCACTGGAATTATGCACGCTTGGTTCAACTGCGAGGGAAAAGAGAGAGAGAAAAAAAAAAGAAACATAAGAGAGTGAGCATTGCCCAGGCAAACCCCCACCCAACCACCACCACCCACGCACCAACCCCCGAGTACGCCTGACGGGAAAATAAGTCTACATGTGAGATGGATCGCCAGCAAGTTGACCAGGAAGCCAAGGTGATGCGACAAAAAGAAGGGCGTTTTTTTTATTCTATTTCTATTTTTTTCTTCGGCCCGCCCGCCGGACCTCCGGCCTGACCTTAATGGTCATCATATCCAGCTCCGCGTTGCCATGGACTAGATGCAATGTTAGCAAGGGCGCAGGGGACGATGAGGGGGCAAGAAGAGGAACGGGAATCCTCACCTGTTATTGTTTTGTAACCGGAACTCGTGCATATTTTGTCCAATCTGGTTGGCGAAGGGACTTGTCGGCTGGGTGTGCGGTGTGACGGTGACGGGAGTGCGGGGCCGCATGGACGGGTCGGCGGGGAACATTGGCACGGACGGGCTGACGGTGGGCCTGGCGCCGGCGGACGGGAGCACCGAGAGCTCGTGGTTGTCCCCGCCGCCGGCGACGGGCGGCTTGTAAGGCGCGCCCTGGGCCATGCCGCTCTCCATGGCCTTCTCGCCGTAGCGCAGCGACTCCCTGCGGCTGCTGGTGGCGTCGTCCTCTTCGAGGTCGAGGAGGCCCTTGTTCTCGGTGCGGTCGCCCTTGCCGGTGACGGCCGGGTCGTTGAGCTGGGAGGGCTGCGTGGTGGGCTGGCCCTTGACGCGCCAGAAGACGAGGATGCTCGAGACCATGACCATGAGGAGGAGGACGAGGGCGAAGGAGGCGTTGACGACGAACAGGACGACGCCGACGGCGCCGACGACGATGCCGGGGGCGTTGAAGATGTTTGTGAAGATGAGGAGAAAGACGGAGTTGATGAAGTTGATGGCGAAGATGGAGATGTTGAACGAGTTGGTGGGCTTGTCCATGTAGGGCTTGAGGACGCTGACGCCGATGAGGGCGGCGGCCTCGGTGAGCATGAGGGCAATGGCCTGGCCGAGGCCGGAGCCCTGGCCGAAGGCGACGACGGCGGCCTTGATGAAGATGTAGCCGATGAAGGGGATGATGAAGTAGTAGGCGGAGGCGCGGTACTGGACGTAGAGGAAGCCCCACTTGTTGATGATGGCGGGGTTGGAGAACAGGACGTGGGCGGGGTTCTGGTGGGTGAGGATGGACTGCTTGGCGATGCGGATGACTTTGAAGGAGGCCCAGAAGAGCGTGGAGATGGTGCCGAAGAAGAAGACGACGGCGAGGACGACGAGGGCGGGCGAGTCGGCCTGGACGAACTCCCACAGGCACAGGACGGCGATCTGGGGGAAGCCGATGAGGCAGAGGCGGAAGAGGATGCCCTTGAGCGTCGTCTTCCAGTCGCGGCGGAACTCGGCGAAGCGGTCGCGCTTGGTCCAGTTGTTCTTGGCGGCGATCTCGGTGCCGTAGCGGAAGGCGGCGACGCCGAGGACGGTGAAGAGCACGAAGGCGCAGTAGACGATGAGGCCGGTGAGGAAGAGGTTGGTGGTCTCGATGCGGGACTTGAAGGCGACGCGCTGGATGCCGAAGACGAGGAAGGAGCCGTTCTCGAGCTTGATGTTGGCGCGGCGGGCGAGGGCCGCGAGGCCACGACGGACGGGGCCGCCGCGGGCGACGGCGGCGGCGGCGGCGGGGCGCACAGCCTCGACGACGTCGAGGGAGCGCTTGGTCTTGGAGACCTGGACGGAGACGGAGCGGACCTCGTCGAGCAGGCGGGCGGCCTCGCCGCCGGTGGAGCGTTGGTACCAGGTGCACAGGGTCTGCATCCAGCCGAGGCGGACGATGCCCATGGACCACTGGAAGTTCTGGGTCCAGCCCTGGACGATGGGGGGCATGTCGACGCCGCTGAGGCCGAGGAAGGCCTGGGCCTGGAAGTAGCCGAACAGGGAGAGGGCGTTGGCAGCGAGGTGGGCGGCGGCGTCGGAGTGGCCCATGGCGGAGATGATACCGGCGGAACCGAGGCCGAGGCCGGCGATGACGGCCGTGGCCCACTTGACGCCGTTGAGGTTGACCGTCTTGCCGTTGGAGAAGTCGGCCTCGACGCAGGCGACGGTCTCGCCCGTGTCGGTGAGGTTGACGAGGGCGCGGATGGTGGCGTCGAGGTCGGGGATGGTGTAGGCGATGTCGGGGACGGCGTCGAGGGCGTCGCCGAGCTCAAAGGAGAACTCCATATCGATCTTGCCGGGCTTCATGGGGCAGAGGCCCTGGAGGTTGGCGGTGCACGGGTCGATGGTCTTGCGGATGTACTCGTAGCCGTAGACGCGGAGGGCGACGTCGAAGACGGCCTTGCCCTCGACCGAGACGACGGCGGCGACGTTGGCCGTGACGGAGCCATTGTTGGCCGAGACGACGATGTTGAACAGGCTGGCAGAGAAGTCGGAGTCCTTGAGGCAGCTGTTGAGCGAGGACGACTGGAGGATCTTGTCGGCATGGACAGAGGGGAAGAAGGCGGCGATGGAGGCGTAGATGAGGTAGGGAACGACTGCGGTGAGTTTCATCTTGATAAATTGTGTCGAGGGTCCACGGGGTGGGCGGGAACGAGGTTGTCGTCGTCTGTCGTCGTCGTCGTCGTCTTCGTTGTCCTCGTTGTAGACGGTAGTTCGGGGTCAATTCGGGGCCAGGAGTCGGGATTCAGCTTTACTCTCCGCCTTGAACATCCACCCCGTCAGCAAAAACCAAAAGCGCGCGAGGGAGAGACTCCCCGGTTCAAGAATCTCGACTCACGATGGCGGTTTGATCCCGGAATCGAACGATGGACTTTGTGCCACAGGTAATCAGACAACGAGGGTCCAGAGAGAGTGTGTCGACCCCTGAATGAATATAAGAATGGCGGCCAGGACGGAGGAGCCAGTAGTGAGGGAGAGTAGAGAAAGAAACTGAAAATGCAACAACACTACTCGGAACGGGTTCAAGGGCGCATTCGGAACGTTTCTTCAAATGCGACGATAGAATCCAGTCCCGTGCAGTCGTTCGGGGAGAATCCAGCAAGCCGCAAACAATATAGATCAAATAGTAACAAAAATTCGCGATTTCAATGAGAGGATCGAAAGACTAGGCTGAAGCAGCAGCAGTCTCGCTCATGACGGAAGATTGGGTAGTCCAGCTTTTGGATCAAGGGGAGGGGGGGGGGAGGGGGGTGGGCATCGCACGGAGGGGACGGGGACACGGGGGGGGGGGGGGGGGGGGCGGTATCCCTGTGAGCGCGCTTAAACGCCGTTACGAATGCGAACAGGGAATTTTAAAGCGAACACTCCGTGATGCAAAGAAGGGGAGGCCCCGGGGAGGAAAAGATTTATGGATACACCGGGGTTTTGTTTCGCCCCCCTCAGGGGAAATATAAGAAAAACGAGAGAGTTTTGGGGACGGGGGGGGGGGGGGGAGGGACACAAACATGCGGGAAAATTTTGGCGAACCCCGGGGTTTCTCCCCCAAG